CAAAAGTGGTTGAACATTAAACTGTTTTAACGTCCTGCCTTTCACTTTGTTAGGTGTTTTTATCCACTTTAAAGGAGTCTATCAATTCACGATTTAAAATTTACTCAAAACTTTAAGCCACTGGCCCTTCAGTACAATAAATGCAAACTGAAATGACATGGAAACATTTCGTCTGTTTGTAGGCTACAATGCTATGCATTGATTACAAACACAGCAAAGAGACTAATCAAAAGCATTATAATGTTGAGAAAAGCATTACGTAATTAATCAGGAGAAAACGAAGTTGGGTTTATCGTTATATATGCATGTATTAAGCCTGTATGGCGTAATTAAATCAGCTTGATTAACCGATGACCGATATTTCTATTGATCATAATCAGCGATAGATTAAATAGGTCCTTTGAAGGGGAGGAAAACAAGATATCGTAAAATGTGCGTGTATCAATTCACACAAAACGGTAATGGTGTTTAGTTGTGAAGTATGTGTCGCTACAAACAAACCTTTGAAGGTAGGTTTATATGTGAATCGAGCTGTGAACACAGGAAGTGATTACATTTTGAAGTATTAAAAACTCTAATACATTCATTGAATATACTGGACATACACTACACAAAGACAATCAATCTGCAGATACCCATTCAATTACTTAATAATTCATTTATGTATTATATCAGAGAAACAGCGTGGAATATTTTCTTTTGCATTCAGTTTTCAATCTATATTTTTTTAAATTCATTTCTTGATTTGCTTTACATGTAAACAACTAAGTTAATAAATCATCCGGAATACATGACAATGAAAGATTATGATGTTTATTCATCATCATCATCGTCGTCGTCGTCGTCGTAATATCAGTATGTTAAGACTTTATCATCTGCTTAAACAAAAAACATATCTTAATACACACAGGCAAAAACTGGTTATCAAGTATGTATTCCAAACTGATGATCAGAGTTCATCCTTAAAATCAAGGAAATCGTGACTTTCCAACCCATTGTCAAAACAAGTTGAAAAGCAAATTATTATTCATCATACATATTTAACGACAGCAATAGAAAATCAATAGGGCAGACATGTGGTTTAACATTCGTGCATCATACTTCCAACCCGACCATTGGCAATGTACATTTATGTTGCTTGATTTTTTTATCATTTATAATCGGTTGGTAAAAAATTAAATAGATTTTCAAGACATGACTCAACACAAACAAGTATTAAACACGAGAAAAAAATACTGTATACTTAATCAACACGTGTGTTCATATAACTTACCTACATTTGTACACATATTTGTATTTGTCAATGATGCGAGCTTAACATCTGAGGAAGCAAATCATTAACGGCCGAACAGATACAATCGATTGTAGGACTGCATAAAGCCGAACAAATAAAATCGATTGTAGGACTGCATAAAGCCGAACAAATAAAATTGATTGTAGGACTGAAAAAAAATCTATCATGTTTGATGCAAAATTACATATTCCATATAATAACTGTATGTGACATTATTTGATGTTTTTTTTTATTTACTGGTTCATTTACAAACGGTTGTACAGAAATGTATCATTTATAATAAAAATCCAGGTTTAAACCCAAACTGTGCATTTGTTATTACAATGTATTCTTTATCACATTCCATTAACCTCTTAATAAGTATTGATGTAAATACACAGAATTGTCACACCCGTGTAATTGGTAATCAGTGCCTTACCTTTTATGAATTAGAACAATACACCCTTTGACCAGGACTCATGGAAAATACCAATCTGAAAAATTGTATCAAAAGTAGGTAATGATTAATTCTAACAACCAATAAAAGTTCCAATCGGTATATAATAATCACCATAACTTTTTTTTATTGTTTAGAATTCTAATCGTCGCAAGCAGTTGTTATTACTTATCAAAATATTTTATATATGAAAAAAACGTGTCCCCAACAACGACATCATCAGATTTGACTCATTATGTTACCAATAGCCAATAGGTTTATATGTCTTTCTTGATACAACTTAGGAGAAACAGCACTCTCGTCCAAGCAATCCGCCCACTCTAGGTTTACTTCCAGAACTATGAAAATGAAAAAAAAAGTTACTGTTATTAGTAAAATATCTCGTTTTCTTTTTTTCCTTTCCATAGCTACGATACACAATGATAAGGATAGTAAAAAAATATTTTCTATAATACTTCATATTGTCACTACATCTGGGGAAAACATGGAATAACATATAAGTTTTACGACAGGGAACATTTAAAATATCGGTTCTGTTGTAGATTATGAAGTGGAGCATCATTATCTATAGTTTGATAATTTACATAAATATTCGGGTGTCGTATTACAGGGGTCTGGAAAAATATTTTAAACCACTAGGCACAGGTCTGGTGGGATGAAAAATTTACTCGTTCAAATTCAGCTTTCAAATTGCGACTTAATCAGCGAGAATGTGACATGTGACTTTTTTTCTATTTCTATTTGAAGTTTTAGTGAAAAAACAATGCAGTGATGGCTGCTTTGCGTCAGACATTGTGCTCGACTTAGGCCTAGTCGTAGTGTTTGTTTACATCCGGCTGACTAGGTACAGTTAAGAACGCGATGACCGCGGGAAAATGACTAAGGTATTCCGAATGCTATATTTGACGTCAAGGGAGTTCTGGTGTAATCGAAAGTTAGAAAGCAGACTGGAATATTTTGTTTTCGAAGTACCGTAAACACGTTTCTTTGTTTTAAATTTTCATTACATTCGTATTGAAATTTAACTTGTAACATTAATATCATTGGGAAAAAGTACTCGTCCGACGGACGACTGACAAAGATAAATCTGGTTGTCCGAGACAATTTTCACTCGTCCATGACGACTGGACGAGTGCTTTTCCGGACTCCTGAATCTTGTTTCCAAATTTTTAAACATTAGAATAAGTTTATGTTTATAACATCTAATAGACAGAGGTTCCAATGAAATTGGATGATATGTTCCACTTCGCAATCCAGTTATAATAATCTTCATGGTTTCTATTTGAACAGATTAAGTTTTTTTTCTTAACCAGTTGTCGATTATTCCAAACAACATATGCACATGTGCTGTCCTTTGTTACGTTACATAACGTCCTGGTGTACACAGGGGACTTTAAATATTACAATATTGTTGATTCCAGCAAAACAAGTAAATACATGTATTCGCCAACTTTTCAGTTAGACTGCTGTCTCTGTTATAAGCGAAAGAGCAAGGCAGGGCTACGTTTGCAAATAACCAATCAAAATACACCAAGCGTTAACTTCGCGGGAGTTGGTGGTTCTTATAAAAATAGAAGGCACAAATAAAACAAAACGAGAGTGGTGTATGTTTTTGGTGAATATTTTATCTAATTTATCGATATGCCTATTCCGTAATAAGTTGAATGGATGATATTTGGTTCTAAATGCGACTTCGTCAACTATTTTAATATATATATTTGGAAAGTTTATAATTTTTCACAAATCTGATTGATTCGAAATTTGTATGCACCGACCGAAATCTCGAGACGGATCAATGTGTAAAAGTTTACATTTCTACTTGTAGGGAAATTACTTACTGTTCAACATGCGAAAGCGACAGATACAACGTTGTTGATAGGTAAATATTTCTTGTGTATGATGGAAAAATTGACATTATATGACCATTACTCTAAAGCCTAAACATAAGGTGGTTGCTGTGCGTCATTGACACGGAAACTGTCGAAGCATGGCTATTTTAGCTTTGCAATGATTGTTGTTACTCTTGTTCTGTAGTATATGCCTGTGTAGTAACTAATTCTATGTTTTGAAGATAACTCATCAACTCCAAATACGCCATATAGATATACAATATGACTTTCCCGGTGCGTTCATTTACACAGGCTGTATATGACATACTGCGAACATCTGTGGAAACCAAATATTGTCACAGTTCTAAATAACGATTCATTAGCTTAATGCACTGTCAAATTAAAACCAAATAAAGCGAATGGGTTGTCTTTATACACCCACTTGGTGTTTAATTAAAAACGATGTGGCGTGTGCACATATTTCCATTTCTTTCTTGAACCCAAACTGTACTTAGAAGATTTTTAGTAAGTCTTGCCATTACGTCGTTTTGTTTACTGCCATCAGTACTGATGGTAATATACATGGCATATTGGCTTTAGATGTGTAAACAGTACTTTGGTGTTTGTGCAGTGGCAATTTTGCATTTGCATTGTGCTTGGTGATAAAAAATTGCAGATTAGTGTGATCTCCTGTTTGCGTGTTAAAATGACTTTAAATGCTGTGAATGTCATGCTATGAATGAAATTGATTTGGGGAGGGGGGGGGGTTGGTTTGAGGTTCTACTGTGTTAAGGTATAAGGAAATAAGGTTGGGCATATTTATACCTGTATGTGCCTTTGGATAGCTTGTATGTGCCTGTAGTTTGAGGTCCTTGACATGTTTGGCCTGTAGAGATGCAGGAAGATGTTAAAAAACTACAGTTTGATTCTCACATCAGCATGTAACTGGGAAAGGACTGGTTGATGAATTTCCATCCAGTCAAATATACTGTCCTAAAAGATCTAAACCAATGGCAAAGCAAATTTGTACAGGACTATCAGGTTAACGGAGATACCTTAGAATTTACAGATTAAGCAAAACATCTTTATGTCATCATACATTCCAACCTGAAATGGGGCACTCATATAAATACTTTAATTGCTAATGCCATTTGAAATTTAGGCTTTGTATGTCAAAACTTAAAAGCAGTTATTCTTAAATACAAGACAATGCCTACATAATATTAGTTTTCTCATCTGTATGGGACCCCTATAATACCAACCAAATGAACAAAATTGAGAAAGTCCAACGACCTGCTGAAAATCACATCTGATTTATCATATATGATTTCACTGGCTTTCTGCATATACATGGGGTTGCCACTATGTTTATATTGTCACAAGTTGGAAAGGAAAATTAAACATCTTATTTTTTCTTAGGAGAGGGTTTTGATCCATAGCCATGGATCTACCCTGGTCGGATGGGGTGTATACCAGCGATGTCCCACGAGATTTCGAAGAGATGCGGATGAGAGAAGAGAGGAAAGAACGGATAGGACAGTACTGGAACTTGCTGGTGTAAGTACTGTATATAATATTGTTATCATCAGATATGATTGAGCAAGTATGATAGTGTGATATCTGCAGTAACCTTGAAGTAATAATCTTTGAAATCCAAAGTTCCTCCTTCAATATGGCATATCTTTCCTCAGATTGCATCTTCGGAATATATTGTAGCAAAATCAAAGTCTAATGGTAGAAGTGCTTGATTAGTGCCCGTTACCAAAACTGAAAAGTTTGTCGCAATTTATATATGACTTGGACCATAAGTGTCTGAGGTTACTATCAAGCTTGAAACTAATGCAATAAAACAAAACTTGGGTTATAGTTTAAATTTATGTATTTGCACCAATATCTATATCTTGCAAAATACAAGTTCTCAGTTATTAACACCTCTCAAAATACAAAATATGAAGTCACTTTTATAGTGCATTGTCAGAGGTTCGATGGACTGTGTCATTCTATATAAGGATACAGAGTCAGTACCTTCATTAGTGAGTAGAGCTCTTAGTTGGCCTGAAATGAAATTAGGACATGTGCCACATGTGATATGACTGTCATATTGATAATTTTACAATTACTATTTCTCTTGAATTAAAAGTCATGTCAGCTAATTACAGGATAGCTTTACAGTTATTGATGGTCATGTTTTCAGATGCATAGCATTAAGTTAATCAATATTTTCCTTTATTCTTATTGTAGTGCTGACCAGGAACCCAAAGTTAGCAAGGTGTGTATTTTAACAATTGTTACAGTGAATGTAAGATCAAGCTGTGCGAAAAATTTAATTAAAACAGTTCAGGATTGGAGCAGATATGTTTTGCTTTCAGTTTTAAAAGAAATAAGGTTTCTCTATTTAAACTTAATTGGCTTTCAGTAAGTAATCATGGATCATTACAAATATTAGACCTTTGATGTATGAATTGTGATACAGGCATGAAAGAGGTGTATGCTGGGGATAAATAGTTGTATTAGTAGGAAAGTGGGACAAGTTTAAATCCTATGTACATTTTTCTTTCAGCAAACCCTGTTAATGTTAATGCAGGATTTGAAAGATGAAGGAAATACTGTATTCAAAGAAAGTCACTATGATGTTGCGTGGATGCATTATCGAAATGCATTATTTATTGGGAGGATATTAGAGACACGATTCTATCATGATGTGGATAAGGAATTTGTATCTACTCTTTTCTCAAATAGAGCATTCTGCTGTCTTAAAAAGGTAAGTGGAGTTGTATCTGATTACATTATAAACCATGAAAAAGTAACTTCAAAATGTCAGTATGTGGTACCTTTTGAGGACTAAAAGATTATTTTATCAAGATTTTACTTGAAATTAAAAAAGTTAACGGTAAATAATTAAAAGAGGCTAATATTAATTCAAGTATTTTTGCAATCACTATTTCAAAATTTTCAGAAAATTATTTTTTAGAATATATATATAAACAAAAGATTAACACAGCAACTATAAAATTCCAGATAACAATTGCTAATATTTTCAAGCCTTACAGTTGAAATTTGATATTTAAATAATGTATTACAGTATATTAGATTGATCAGAGTATAGGAGTATTGACAAGTATATTCATTTTCATGAAATACTTCAATGAGATTTAATTTTTTTTAAGGAAATGTACAACGAAGCTATTCATGACTGTGAGAAAGGTAAGAAGTTAAGGAAGATTTTAAATGTAGAAATGAGTATACATTGAGCAAATAATCCATTGGATTGTCAACCAATAAAATACAAGAAGTTAGACATTCTCAAATAACATAAAGATATCATATACCTGAAAATTTTTTAGTTGCTGGCCAATACTAGTGGAGAGTATTATCAGTTTGCAGTCTTTCAGTATTCCTCACAATTGCAAAATTTTGAAAACGGGATAGAAGAGTGTTGCCTTCAAGAATCAAAGTGCTCATACTCCATCATATTCAGGATATGACTTATTACCAAATCTGACAGGGAAGTGTAGATGAAGTTTGAGGACATAATTTTAATATTTTGCTTTATTGATGTTTAAGTACAGAGTTTTTATAATCAAACTTGCCTACGTTCCTTATTTTATCAGGAAACTTATGTATCACAAGTTTTAAACATGAGTTAAAATCATTATTTGTTATTTAAGGGGTTTATGGTGCTATCAAATAAAAAATAAAGCAGCATAAATGTTTTAAGTGTCATCAAAAGTAAAATCAACAAAATGCATTTTCCTAAAGCTTAAAATATTGAGTGCACAAAATTTCTGTAGAAAATTTCAAAATTTTGACAAGCTTTGTGCGTAAATAAATGAACCAATGAGATCTAAATGTCAGATGAACTATAAGTCTTTTGTTTTTTTCCTCTATTTTAGCTATTGATATATTTAGTTCAAACATCAAAGCCTACTATAGACAAGTACAAGCCTTAAAAGCACAGAATAGGACTGCAGAGGCCCTCAAGATTGCACAACAGGGGCATCTCAAACAACCTAATGTAAGTTATTATATATCATTACATCAATGTTTACATCACACTAATATCTGTTCATTTATCTGAATAACATACCTGCCAACTTTCGGGATTCAGTCGGGAGTATGCTGATTTTCACTCCCCAGCTCGGCCTCCCAATCATATGGATCAAAATTGGGGTAATCTCAGTCTCCCGATTTCAGAGATCCAGGTGGGTAGGTCATAAGTACCTTTGCTATATTTGTCAAATAGATGAGACTGACCATATGGCCATGTACTCGAGGCCTAGCTAGGTGTGTCAGGAATGACAGTTATTTTCTAAGTACATATTTCACAGTAATTACAAAAATAAAATATCATGGACCATTAGATCTAGATTAAAACATTTGGAATTTTATGAAAGAATTTATTTCATTTATCTTTTTTATTTTGCCTCTTTAACATTTTAATAAAATGACAGCTCAAAAATTTCATGAGATGATCAATACTTTTTTACCTTATTTCAATTCAACAAATTCTTTCAGAAGCATCATATTTGGAGATACATATCCCTTATTAACAACTGAACAGATTATCATAAGTCTTAAATCTGTTATATTGTGTGAGTTCAATGACTACTGAGAGTTTAATTTAATAAATTTCAACTTGGTTCTTACTGATGCAAAAAAGCAGAAATCTATTATATTGTGTGAGTTAAATGACTACTAAGAATTTAATTTAATAAATTCCAACTTGATTCTTATTGATGCAAAAAAGCAGATATATTTTTATTGTTATTGTATAGTGAAGCATGGACTTTATCAATTTAAAGTTATCTAAAAGTATTGATTAAAGATACTTTAATTAATTTTTCGTTTGTGACAAATGATGCTATAAACAAGGTATCATCGTAGTGAGCCAAAAATGTTGTTCACACTTGTCTCCCCCTTGAGAATTTTGAAAAGTTGGCAGGAATGGAATAACTCAAACTGGTATGAAAATACAACATATTGAAGTGATGTTTTATGTAATAAAAATTCATTCTATGTTTGAATTCATGGAAATGAAAGTAAAACCAGAAAGGAAAAATGAAAGATGTAAATATAGTGTTGTAATTGAGTGGGAATTTCCAGTATTGGGGGAATTCCCTTTTCAATCTTGTTGTGTATACATTGTATATTGTGAGGGAAATTCCCCAAGTAAACCCAGTGTTAGTTTCTTTGTCCCCCTTAACACTGGATATGCAAATGTTCTTTACTAGGTCAAGATGATATTGAGTTCATATAAGATTGTTTGCTAGTATGAATTAACAATGAATTGACCTTCATATGCTCTGTTGCAGATCTTTAGAGAGTTAATTGAAGAGCTTTCTGATGCCTTGGAAATTGAAACCTCCTCAAAACAGAAATCATCTACTGCTAATATATCTGTTCAACATGCTCAGACTGAGGCTGCAAATCAACCAGATGCTGATTGGTTAACTGGAACAAATATACATGTTAATGAGGTGAGTGGTAGTAAATCCAAAAAAGGAAAAAAAAAATTCTTTTGCATTTTCAAATGATATATATGTATTTAACATGAAAAACCAAAGGTGATTTTATTCTGTACTTTTCTAAGGGTATTCTCAATTTTGATATTAAATGTTTTCTAATTAATTGGAAATTGACTCTTTCTCTTCAAACTTTGAATTTGGAAAAAATGGTCACTGAGCTTTAAATAACAAAGCAACTGTATTGTTAATTAGGGGCAGAGGGTTGAAATGTAACAAAATATTTTTAGCCCATCATCAGTCAACAGTTTTTGTTATTGCTATTTCATTTGAAGTACTGGATAGATCATGTCAAATTTCACCTGTAGATTCCTGTTGGTCCCTAGTTATACCCTATGGATTTAGGCGTGATCAGGAAACAAAAATGGTGCACAGCCATCTTGAATTTTGATTATGAAATTTTCTTATTGCTATTTCTTGAGAAGCACAAGATGAATCTGTCTCAAATTTCTTGAGAAAAGCTGGATAGATCTTTCTCAAATTTCATATGTAGGGTTCCCTTGGTCCCTAGTCGGTCTTTTAAAGGTTATTATCTCTCTTTAAGGGGAAATTTTCCATTTCATTTACATAGTTAAGAGTGAAGTCAGAGGAAAGAAGGGAGAAGATTAAAGTTTTTAAGTACAAATAAAGATAAAATGTGAGTGGGCACCAAGATCCCTACTAGTGATGTAATTTGATTTTTAGGTCACCTGAGCCAAAGGCTAATGGTGACCTATTGCCATCATGATTTGTCTGTCATCGTGCTTCGTTAACTTTTCACATATTCGACTTCTTCTCAAGAACTATTGGATGGATTTTGACCAAACTTGGCATCAAGCATCCCCATGGGAATCCGCTTCAAGTTTTCGAAGAAAAAGGGTGTGGCCCCAATAGGGGCTGCAGGAGGGGGGAAAAGTGGGTAAAATTAGATAAATCTTTAAAAATCTTCTTCTCATGAACCAACAGTCAGATTAAAATCATATTTGATATTTAGGGTCCTAATGGCAAGGTCTACAAAGTTTGCGAATGAAAAAAAATTGGGTCAAAAACGGCCCCACTAGGGGGCGCTCAAAATGATAGAAAATTCAACTTTGACCGATTTCAACCAAATTTGGTAGACAGCATCCCTTAGTGAAGGACATATGAAATTATGTTGAAAAAAGTGATAATGTCCCCTTTGGGTCCTATAAGGGGTGTAAAAGGGGCCATATGTAGAAACTTTCATTAAATGACTACTTCTCAAGAACCAGTGGATGGATATTGACCAAACTTGGCACAAAGCATCCGCATGGGAAGCCGATTCTAGTTTGCGAAGAAAAAGGGTGTGGCCCCAATAGGGGCCCCAGGAGGGGGGAAAAGGGGAAACTTTATACGAATGTTCTACACAAGGTCCTGGCAAGTGTTTTAACTTTTTGCGGCGATTCAAAATCCAAAATGGCCACCCTGACCTTTGTTTGGCTAAGACATTATGGACATCCTCTCAAGAACCATTGGGTGGGTCATGTTCAAACTTGGTACAGATGTTTTACACACGGTCCTGCACAAGTGTTGTTACATTTTTGCAACATTTTAAAATCCCCAGATTATTGACATATATTCCTCAGGTGACCGTTAAGGCCCCTTGGGCCTCGTTATTTTAGTAGATTAAGAATACATGGATATTGGATGGATATTTTATGTCAGTTTTTACAATGTCCATATTACTATTGATTAAATATAACTTGATAAAGAAAAATAAGAATACAAATTTTATTTGTTGATTTGTTTTTTGAATGAATATCATAATAAATGTGTTTGTACAGATATGATTCTGAAGTATGGTCCTTAATACAGTGCATATTTCAATTTTTAAAAAAAATCCTTTTTCAGAATTCATCAAAAGCCAAAGTCATGAAGAAAAACTCTGGTGGTAAGTTATTCCAAAAAATAAAGCTATCCTTGCCCAAAGTCACTACTTGATATTTTGATTGTCTTGCTATAACATGGTAAACTGCTGACATTTCATTAAAGTAATGAAGTGTCTGCTGACAGACTTAGAATTGTCTCTGCAATTTTCCTTTTCATCTTAATCTTACTGAATATATTTGGGAGATGCATTATTAGTCTGTGGCCTTCTGATTGGCCTCTGTCCTAGGAAGGGGTCGCTGTGTCCTGATTTATATGATTTATACCACTGTGTAACTATAAGGGAAAAAGGAACACGCTGTCTGACTACTAGGATTGATGATAAGGTTCATCCTCGAAATTCCAGGGATTACGATCACAAACTTTCTTATGAAAGTGATTGTAACCCTTGGATTATCCAAGATGTATAGGGTATTGCCTTGTTTCTAATATTAGACTTCTCCTACCATAACATTGACCATACCCTTTTATGCAATTGTTGCATACTAACAGACTTTTCAACATTGTCATAGGGAAGAAATTAAAATTTGTGGCCCATTAACATGTTACTGTGTGCCCTGCAATAGTTTACATGAAGAATATATCAAATAGATTGTCATTATATACAAAATTATTTGCTGGAGTAGATTGCTTTAAAGGTGTTTGTAATTTATTTAATATGATTAATTCTATCACAAAAAATGAGGATATGTTAACTTCTGTTATAAAGAAATAAAGAATAACGGTCAAAACATTTCCAATTCTTGAATACATCAATGAAATCTCAATTGTTATAGGCAAACAGAAGCAGCAGAAGAAAAGCAAACAGGCGATGACCATGCCAAGGAATGGACACACTTTTTCTGAGTCAGAAAGTGAAGAAGGAAGCAGTAGTGATGGCAGTAGTCTCAACGAAGATGAAAAATTTGCTAGTAACTTTCTTAATGTGCGTAAAACCAATTTTTCTTCCTCAGGCCCCAGCATCATTAAGTTTCCAACATCCAGCTCTGTCACCAAACAGGTTTGTTATTAATAACCAAGTCTAAACTCTTAACATTACTTATTTCAGAATAAAACAGCTGCTATGAGAAAAAATAACAGAACATATTAAAACCACTTGTAAATCATAGAACGTTCAGTTTCATACATCTTTACATAGAGTTAGTTTTTTGGTTACATCTGTCTCCATGATTCTTCATATTGATAGGTATTGAAGCCTTAAGTGTTTGCGATGCAAATTTCTGTAAATAATGACAAAGATGTTTTTGTTTTGTTAAAATGTTTTGTGTGGATGTGACTTTCATGTAATGTACTTAGACATGAAACGTTTAAACCATTTTGACAAGGATAAAGAGGTGAGAGGTCATGGACACTCGCAGGTTTGAGATAGTTTACAACAGTATTATTACAATTTTTCAGGAATCTTCTCCAAGGGCAAGACTTGGTGATGGAATGGGACTTGATACTTTTTCATCTGGTATGTACCTTGTTTGTAGACCTAGCTCATAAATATGTAATAAGGTCTTTGTAGCCTCCGTTTAAAATTGATGGGGGTATGAAACTTTGCTAAAAACGATGTATGAAGCCTGATATAAAGATAACAGAAGTGAAGAATCCTTCTCAACATTTTATTTTCTGGCACACTGATTGGTTGTTGTATATTACCTGAACATTTTGTTGTAGAAAACTTTGTCCTATGTTTGAGAATAATAAGGTTGTTCGTATGTGTCCATATGTTGTAGTAGCCACTAGATATTAATTTCACAATATTAGTTGTTATAGGTTTTTACTTTTAATGACTTTTCAAAAATGTTTTTCACAGGGAAAATCAAGCCAGAAAAAAATCAGTGTTCTTCAGTTTACAGTAGTACCACTGCTGCTAGTCCTGTTCACAAACAACCACCCAAGAAAACTGCTCCTACTCTAAGTGATGAGGACTTGAACGCTTTATATTTTCCATTGGAAAACTATGATTTCAAATTGGCATGTTCTCAATGTTTTGTCAAGACTGGGGAAGGTGTGCAAGGCTATAATTTCTACGATTTCAAACACACATGTGATAAAGACTATCTTGTAGTGAAGCTGAAGGCAACCATGTCAACCAAAAATATCACCTGGATTAGAATACGCCCTCGACCGGAGCACAAAAATCCGAAGTTGATTTATCACTACAAGAAGTGTTTACAGTTTACACAGAGTCAGCCATGTAGAGTTGGTGATGATCGATGCACATTTGCCCATACAAAGGCTGAGATGGACCTCTGGGAGATGGATAAAGACGAACAGTTCAGCATAACTAATTTTATTGAAAAGTTACATGAGCTAAAAATTGGTAAGTCTATAAATATACAGATAATATTGTGAACATTTAAGACTTCCAATACGAAATGTTTGTTAACTGTTACAACATTTATTTCATATATTTGTCATGGTGGTAATTTTGCAACTATACTATTTATAAATTTCTGAACACATGTATAAATCAGAAATGTAATATTCAATATTAACACTTCATCAGTTTCAAAGAGAATTTGTTATAATTTGTTCTTTGGTCCTTGCAGAATCTAGCTGGGATTTGGAGACATTCATACAAAACAATATTGCTCAGAATGAACCAGCACAACCTGTACAGTCACCAGGCATCCCTGGCCTCAACTTTAAGCAAAAGAAATCCAAATCTGCCACACAGGCTGCTAAACAACAAGAGGCACTCTTGAGGCAGCCAGTTGTAAAGCAAGAACCCCTCCTTAAACCCCCTGTCCTGAAAGCACATCAGACCGAGCCTGTCCCAGCCCCAGTGGTGAAAATGCCGACGTCCAAACCTAGAACTACGCTTTTTGAAGCACCTTCCAGAGGTACAGCAATCCGTACACAAATGTCTCCACCTGAACCTTCATACCAACCAAGCACAACTGCAGCCTTGCTTCCTAAACCTCAACATTCCTCTGTCCAGTATACACCTCAACATCTGGTGGCCTCCCCGGTAAGGCCAAATCTGAGTCGACCACCACCTCCATTTGGAGGAAACACAGGAAATTTTACACCAACGATGAATGTTAACACCAGATTTCCCCCTCCAAGAATGCCTGGTCCACAACAAACTACAAATAAATACCATGTCTCGTATCCAAGAATGCAGGCTCCCCAAGGTAAGCTTTTTTCCACTGGATTTTACAGTCACTTTGAAGGGTTATTGCTATTACTGAGTTTTGTTTGATTTTGGAGAAACAGTTTATCTCTAGGATTATTTGGAAATACAACGAGAAAGGGTTGGTGACTTTTGAAAAAGAATTTAACGTAACTCTATAGGAGTCTTTTAGGGGTAATTCGGATGATGCAACCAATTAGTTTGAAACCTCATAGAATTCTTTTGTATTTTCTTTATTTTGAGCAGGTGGTTTTTTTCGACAAGACAAGCCACATTATCACTCAGGTCCTACAAACCAAACACAGATGAGACCAAATCTGATGCAGGCACCAGCACCAAAACCAGCCTCAGAAATGCCATCACAGACAGTAGAAACCAACCAACCAGTCACAATTCTTAAATTTCCATTAAGAGACACTCATGATTTCAAACTAGTGTGCAAAGTGTGTTTTGTTTATGGCAACCAGCCTGGATACTACATGCCTCAACAGAAAACTCATAAATGTGAGGAGAATGTGCTAACAGTGAAACTTAAAGGGCAATCAGTGCCCTGGCATTGTATTAGGGAACGCAAAAATCATCGTGAGTTTCCAGGTAAGTACATCTTATGTAATAGTGTGTATTATGGAAATCCTGGTCTCTGTAGGTATGGAGAAGAGTCTTGTTCCTTTGCCCACAATGTGGAAGAGCAGACATTATGGACATTGGAAAAGGATGAAAAATTCAACATCACAGAATTCATCATGCAGAATCGTTCAGTTAGTGTTGCCAAGGGATTTACACTTGGGGATGTTCTGAAAAAACATGGAGGATCTTTTGACTTCATTTGTAAATTCTGCTATTGCAGCACTCCTCGAAGTATTTCATTCAAAGGGTCTGGTGATTTCTGTAGTCCTAAAGGACATCAGTGGTCTGAGTACAAGATAATGGCTCATTTTGCAAATGACGGATCAATTAAACTCATCAATCAAAGAGGTTTCCTACATAAAACAGCCTTCTTCAAAATTTGCAAGTGGCTGCAGTTCTGTAGAAATCAAATCAATGCAGAGTGTCGATTTGCACACAGCTTGGTGGAGAGAGATATATGGATGTTGGAGAGGGATTCTGGGATGTCCAAAGAAGAAATAGTGGACGAGATCAACAAAGCCATTGTTCAACCTATCGGTCATCAGCATGAAGCATCACCTCCTGTAGATCAGACAGTTATTGTGCAATCAGCATCTGCAGGACTCTCACTTTCTGCAGTTGTAGCACAGAAAACACCAAATGCTGTTGCAAATGTGAAGCAAAATCTAGATCTTGAGGATAATGAGTGTCCATATGTGATCACTGCTATATGTCAAACCTGTTGGAAGAATGGAAAAAAGAGTGTTCAGGATGGTCATAAGGATCGCTGTGTGAAATCCCACTCTAACTGGAAAACAAACAGAATTTTCTTGCTTGCTACTGCTAATAGGGAAATCAGACCACTACCAAGAAAGATTCCAGGTGGATTTGCTTTTATCATTTGCAAATTTATTAGGAACAAGACCAAGTGTGGATATACAGGAGGAGGGTACTGTCAATTTGCTCACAGTCAGGAGGAACTGGAGGTCTGGCAGTGGATGTGCACACACAGCTGTAAGTATCGACGGATAGAAATATATGAATAACATATTATCAACATTAACAAGCTTACGATAGTCAAATCCAATAAATGTTGGATGAATTCTTTTGAATTTATGTATTGAATATTGAATATTCAAATGTTTAACATTTGTTTGGATTATGAAAATATTAAACTAAATATTAAATTAATAATGCAATTTTCATGATATTTTTCTGTTGATATTATATAGTGACAACCCTAGAACAGTTGCATGAAGCCAGCAGAGAAAGTCAGAAGAAGCGACAGTCCTTAGTTAAGTCCAAGATCACAAGTGGAGAATCAGTGATTGCCGTGAAGAATGTGATCACCATACCCATTCAGTCTAACTTCAATCCCCTATACTGTGCCTACTGTGGCAAGCAGTGTAATAGTCAGAAACAGTGGGATGAACACTGTGCTTCAGAGAGGCATAACTTCAATGTGAGCTCTGACAAGGAGCACCAATGGAACTACAGACAGCCACCCTGGGGTATGCCTGGGAGCAACTATGAACTCTGTCCCAAGTAAGTGCATTCACAGTTCCTTCTCTGTAACAAGTAAATTCATTCACTGTTCTGTGAATCTACTACAGCAAATGATTTCAACTGCTTGTGAGATATCTAGTTTACTTGTGTAGGAAACTGTGAATAAATCTAATGTAGCTTATTTACGTGCTATTTTTGTACCAGTTTTAAAATTCAAATGTAAAGGTATATCTGAAAACAAATGTGGATTGGTTCTTTGGTTGACTGATCAAAAAAGCCCTGGGTTTCTACTTGTTACAAGAATTGCAGCAGCAGCTGAGTTACTGGTATGGATCTTTATTTTACAACCAGTCTAAAGATGACTTATGACCGTGATCAATTGTTCATCAATCTTCGTTTCGTAAATATTTCTTTTAGATTAATCAATCTTTAGAACTTACAAGTTTCATTTTAATGTATTGGGTGTATCAGAAGAATTTCAGACATTAAATATTGAAAAGTCAAAAGCTCCTCAAAATTAATCGTAATACTATAACAATCCCCAAAATTCATCATAATACTATCACAATGGCTTAGTTTTACGTAGTAATAATTCAGTTTCCTTAACGTAAGTTGACTTTTGTTCAGGTGTTGATCTCGAGTTTTATGTTTTATATAGGAATGAAAATGGTGGAAAATGTACCTACTCCAATGTTCCTGACATGTACAACATGTGTACACATGCTCACTCAATTGAGGAGCTGGAAGAATGGAAGGAGAGACATGAATGGAGACTGATGAAGCGAGACATGGCTCGCCAGGAAATGGTCTTTTCCTATATGGACCAGCTACTGGAGAAATACGAACAGGCGGAGTCTGCTATAGGTGTTGTAAGTGTTGTTTATTTACATCAAGTGTAATAGTAATTACATTGAACTGATATTTTACATAATTAATGTGACAACATTTTCTGGCATCATACAGTAATGTCTCATGCCTTTGACATATCATTAGGCACAAAATGGGGTGAGGCATATAATGTCAGCCATATTCATTTCGTCCTATTCCCACACAATGTCAGCGTAAGTAAAGACTTGGAGCTTCGCTAAATTTTCAGTATTTTCAACAGTATAAAAATCTACTAGCCCCATGCGAGTGTAGTATCACCTTGCTAATTTACATCAGAGGGAGGATATTTTATGCCTGAAAGATATTTTCTAGTAGTTATTTTCTTTAGCAACAGCAATTAATAGAAGACAGTTGTTTCTATGAAATATTCCAAACTAGACTTAAGATGATAGCAGTTTCTATAAAACTTTACAATCAAGACTTCAGGAGACAGATATTTATATTGCTATGTTGTAAAAATAATTTTATCTGGATATTGCAGTAACATTTTGCTTATGTCATACCAGATATCAGAAGATCTAGAGGGAGTATCTGTGACCTGTAACCAGGACCTAGTGAGATATGAAGAGAACAAAGATGCCACATTTATGTGGACATTCACTATCAAATCTCAGGTAAAATCCCATGATTCTTGTTGCCTCAGCAAATTGTTCAAATTTTCAAGGAATCATTTTACAAATAATTTGAGCAAGTTTGAATATGTCTTGTTTATGGAAGTTAATATACATTATTGAAGATGTAATATTTTTCTTGCAGATGTTTTCAGGTTAATTTGCTAACTGGTATTGTAAATCATATTTTATTGTCAACTTCAATACTATTCTTTCCACTCTCTATCAAGACGAGAACTAGCAAGATAGAGATTTTAAGGTTATCTGACCCATAACCAGCATTTTTTGTTCGTTACCATACGTAAACTTTCCATTCAAATGACTTCTTCTCAATCACCAAAAATCCCAGGGTGCTGATATTGGTCCTGTAGCATGATGGGATAAAGAGCTAACAAGTTTGTTTAAATGTATTACTGTCAAATATGTCAAAATCTTTAAACAACTTTTTCTCAACAACTAAAAGGCCAAGGTTGCTGATAATAGGTCCATATGTTGCTGGGATGGAGGACTACTAAGCTTGTCAATATTAATGACTTTGACCCACCTTCAAGGTCATTGGGGTCAGATTTGATGAAATATTTAAACAACTTCTCAATTACCAAAAGATCTATGGTGATGATATTGGGCCTGTAGCCTGCTGGGATAAAGGGCTCCCAAGTATGATCAAACGCATGATGTTGACCTATTTACAAAGTTACCGGGGACAAATGTGTAAAAATCTTTAAATGACTTCTTCTCAATTATCAAAAGATCTGGAGTGCTGATAATCAGCTCGAAAGCATGCTGGAATGAGTGGTAACCAATTTTGTTTGTTTGATTGAACTTTTCTCTTTCTATAGGTCAATGGGTTCAAATGTGTTAAAATTTTCAAACGACTTTTTCTCAATAACAAAGGTCCAGACTGTTGACATTGGTTCTTTGACATAAGTGGTCGAAGAGCAATCAATTTAAGATAATTGACCTTGATCTATATTCAAAATCTCATGGGTCAAGTGAGTTTCTTTTTCAACATGCAAGAGGTTGGGAGTAATGTCATTTGTGTAGTAGCATGTATAAAGAATATGAATTCAAGTTTTCAGAAAATGTTTTTATGTACCAATGTCTTCTTTGTAAGCTGAAGAGTAGTTAAGCCTATTTGGCCTCTTTCATATATAAGTCTTTATGGTCAGATGACTATTTGATTAGGAAGAGTAGCAGTGAATACTCAAATGGCCAATATTAGGTACTTCACCATGGGTTTTAATTAGAAATTCAGAATAATTTGTATATCCTAATTTCAGTTACCTCTTCAAAAGTTGGCTCTGCTGTATAACAAGGACCGTCTGCACTTTTCCTTGTCGGGTAAAGGATTGGTTGGACACTGCCAGATAGCCCAAGGCACTAGCTGTGAGGAGATGGACCGTGATGGGCCATGTTACAAAGTGCAGGTCAAGTTTACAGCTGCAATGTTTGGGTCCTTTAGCCAGTGGGTTATCTTTGACTTTGGAAAGGAGCCAGTCCTTGTTAGAAAGCTTTCTGTAGAGGTGGGAACAATGCACATGCATGACAAAATCAGGAGTTTGCGACGGCAACTTCAGTTTGACCGCTGGACCAGTGAGAACAGGGTTATAATCAAGAATGAGGCAGAATGGGTGGATGACTTGGAGAAGATGCTGACAAACAAATACAAAGCTCCATCAGAAGCTGAAAGTGTAGTCACCCAGAACAGTTTAGTGACAGAACTCAACCGCAACAACTACACACATAAGATGAAGAAACTCTTAGAGCTTGAAGAAATTACAAGACACCAAATCATAGCTGAGTATGTGTTCACAAAGCTCATGTTTGTAACTGTTGACAATTTATTGGTGGCTTGATAAAGTCCTACCTATGTTTGTTTTTTATCTGATCAAAGTTGAATTTATTTTATATATTGGGTATGATATTTTCAATTTGATGATAAATAACAAGTCTATATATTATGAGAATACTTATCTAATCTGTCAAATCTGAAAAGTAAAGTAGCTTGCTGGATTTTAAAATGTTCTGTGTCATGACAGTTGGGACAGTGTATACACAATTGGAGATTTGCACAAATATCTACAAGCTGTGTACCCATTCCAAAATAGATTTACCTTCAAACCCTCATAAAAGAGGACTGATAGATATGTTATAGGTAGTTCAGTCATCTTGATATTTTCATTGCTTGTATGAAATATTTGTTGTTTATATCAAAGCGATGTTATTTAATGTGGATATTTCTATCTGCAGATACAATCTAGAGGTGACAATTGAGTGTGTAGGGGGTATTGAGGAAGACACCTACTTGTATGCCCACCCAGGAGAGCTGTTTGCTAAGGTACCTCTGAATGATTATCTGACAGAAGACACTGATGCAGGCAAGCTCATCTTGAGCAGTGTACGTAAAGTATTAATCGCACCTACTAACAATAGCAGCAAAACTGTGTTTGAAGCAGCAATTGTGAGGAAAGACAATTTTGATTATGATGGGAGAGGCAAAGAGTATATCTACCTGTGCTTGTCCAAAGCATGTGTAAGACAGCTGAATCTGAAAAGGAACATGAGCGTCGCAGTAGAGATTCAGTTCCAGATGGACCGCAGGCATTTCTGTATGATGCATTTTGCCATTGACAAGATGCACACAACTGATGTAGTCTTCCCAGACATCTCCAAGTACCGACCACTGTGGAGTGAGAGACATGACCTCAAAGTCAGGTAACCAATTCAGATGAATCCAATTCTGTGTTTAATTTAAATTTTGTTGTTTTGCAGTAGAAGTCTGTTTTATTTTAACTTTATGCTGCATTATGATTCTAAATGAACAGACTTACAAACAGTTTCAAAATTCTAGAAATCAATCAAAGATCTGTCTTGAAAGTTTATTCAAAGCTTTAATTTTCTGAAACTTTAGAGATCAAAGTATATTGGACACCCAGAAAGAACACATGTGACATTTAATGTCATCCTGATAGCTACTGAAATTTTGAACATAAGACCACTGTGATATGAATTGTGCTTAGTTATTTGTATTTAGAAGTTAAAACTATTAAAATGGACCTTATATTGTGCTAATTAATTGATATTTTGGACATTGTAACACCATTGACAAAGGAAGACAATTTTTTTTACTAAACATTTATATTTCATATATGTATACATATATGTTTAGTACTATTTTTATGATAACCATTTCAGCTCTGACATCTTGAATGTGGAACAGATCCAGGCTGTGAAGCACATAGTGGCCCAGCGATCTGGGTACACCCCTCCGTTTGTCATGTATGGTCCATTTGGTACAGGGAAAACGGAAACCATTGCACAGGCAGCAATGGTCCTACTGAAGGAAAAACCATCTGCAAGAATCCTCATATGTGCTCAGTCAAACAGGTGAATACTTCATTAAAGAGTAGTTCCTTCTCACTTAAGACCAGGACCTTTACTAGTATCAGAAATAAAACATTTTCATTATCAGCTTGATTAAAATCGCAGCTTTAAATTGCAAACATATATCTGTAAGTAATGGGTCATGACTATTAATATTTTGATTTTTTATTCAGTGCTGCAGATTTGTACATTCTGAAACACTTGGGACCATTCCTGAAGAAACACCCAAAAATAAATCTGCGGAGAATTTACTTCAAAGAAAGGCGTATCAACACAGTTCACAAAGATGTGAAGCCCTTCTGTTTGCTCACACCTGATTGTAGTGCCTTTGGAATGCCAACAAGAGAGGACATTGAACTTCATCAGATTGTCATTGTGACCCTGTCCACATCACTGGTGCTTACCAATCTGGGCCTTTATGGTCACTTCACCCACGTCTTTATTGATGAAGCAGCACAGGCATTAGAGGTAGAAACTATCATGCCACTATCTCTCTGCAACGAAAAAACATGTGTAGTGTTAGCTGGTGACCACAAACAGATCAGTCCGAAAGTGTACAGCCGAGAGGCACGTAACCAGAATTTTCACATTTCTCTTTTGGAGAGGCTTTACCAGTATTATGACTCTCATTCCAGCAAGATTGACCAGGCTAGCCCTGTCAACATTCTCCTCAACATCAACTACCGCTCCAAACATGAGATTCTCCGATTTATCTCTGCCATTTTCTATGGAGGTCCAGACAAGCTCGAGTCTCAAGCCAAGCTGCCCTCAGTGTTAACTATTACACCACTGACATTCTATGCTGTTCAGGGACGCGAGATGCAAGATAATGACAGCACTTCATTCTACAATCTCTCAGAGATCCAGGAGATTGTTGAGAGAGTAGAGGATCTCTTTTATAACTGGCCCCAAGAGTGGGGACCTCGCCAGGCAAAAGATATTGGAGTTGTCACACCATATTATGATCAGGTATATTCAGTAGTAGATAGAGACATTACAGTCTTACAGGCATAGTCACCAGTTTGTCATTAGTAGGTTTTTGGACTACTTTGTGACATTCAGCTTTGATTGCATTTCTTCCCTGTTACCTATCAATCTGATTACATACATGACATAAACTGTGTTATGACCTAAAGTGTAGTGATATTTAGCAGAACTGTGAGTGGATGTAGGTTTCTGTTGATTCAGTAATGACTTTCTAACTTCCTAAAGCATCATATGCATTGTGACGTTGCCAAAGAGAAATTGTGACAGAATATTGCCTATGTTGATTTAAGAATAGGCAAGTAAAATGCAGGTTTCAAGAATGTTGGCCAAATTACCTAAGTTATATGATTGACAGCGTCATACCTTTGTTTCCATTTTATTAAAGATTTAGGAAACTTGTCAATCAGTAAAATGATTGTCTGATGGTAGTCTCTAAAATATGTGACCTTGTACTACTTATGCACTATGCTGTTTTATATGACTATGTATTGAAAGCCTTGTACGATGGACAGACATGCATTTGCTATATAACAAGTTACATTCTCTTGTCTTGTTTTGCATTTTTCTGCATATACCTACATACAAGTTTTACTTGAGGAAATGTCTTTGAAATTTTGCCACTGTTGTACACCCTGATGTTGTGGTGAAATTATCTTTTTTTCTATTTTCCAATTAGGTTCAGTTGATCCGCAAATCTCTCAGAAAACGACATTCAGAGCTATCATCTGTCACCGTAGAAAGGGTCAACAATGTTCAAGGTCTGTATTTCAAATATGATGTAATGTGAACTGCTTAAAAATTCACCAGCAGGAAGTCTAAATAATATGATATTGGGCCACTTGTTTGTTTTAGATAGATAAACTGAAAGGAAATAAATGGTTAGGTAACCTGAAAGGAAATAAATGGTTAGGTAACCTGAAAGGAAATAAATGGTTAGGTAACCTGAAAGGAAATAAATGGTTAGATTTCCTTATTTTTTCCATGAATTTGATTTCGGGCAATCATCGTCATAATTGAAATTATACTATTCACAAAATTATTGCACTTTTTGATAAAAATTGATAAAGATTATAAGCTTCAAACTCACATTTGTTGACACTGACTGCTGTGGAGTTCATCATGTGACTTTTTGGAACCTTGTTTTAACCTGCCGCTTTGTTATGATTTTAAAAATTTTCCAAGGTTGCACATGTGCAAACACATTGTTTACAATCTGAGCGATAATGATATGAATCAGTATTGGGTCACTTCCTTTCAATTTTTTGCGACAGATAGATAATCTAATCCAAGGATCATGTACAATAGCTTAGTAGTAAACTCCCCAAAACAAATAAAAATCTTGGAACATTGAATATAAAATTCAAAATGAGATGTTAAGTGGTTGGTTATAAAGCAATATTTTAGCACAGTTTCTTAAAAGTCTGCATGAGCAGTTCTTGGTTATTATCTGAACAGAGTCCTTTTGGTCACATAAGTTTAGATTTTAGTAGTAGTAGTTTTTATAATGGAACCAAACGATGATAGTCAGGAAACATTAAATCTGAAAGGGACGAAATGTTCAATCACTGATTTATTTTGCAATACAGTTAAATGCTACACTATGTACAGCAGTGCTAGTACACTCCATACTGGTCATTTTCTGATGAAGGTGAAGATGGAGAGTATTGTAACTTTTTAGTATGTGATGACTGATGATGAGATCAATTATGTTTGTTCACATTGAAAAATGTGAATAGGACATTGAAATTGAAAGCATGAGAATAAATAGCATGCATAAGTGATTGTGAAGTAGTTAACTTTCTTGATGTCTTTTAGCCTTCAATATCTTGTGTGAGTGATTCTGGTAAGTATGAATCTAATGAAAATATTAGGCATTGATTAAACTTTTGAAGGTTGATTAGGCCTAAGCCAGAGGATATTAATGACGTTAACACAATTTTCATAGCTTGTCCGACTGATAATTTTGTAATGCTTTTGAAACAGAAATATATCATTTGTATTTCCAGGCAAAGAATTCCGAGCTTTATTTTTGTCCACTGTGAGGACATGCAGTATTTTGGAATCACCGACACCAGCTGGACCAACTACAGTTGATGATGGTGATTTTGGATTCCTATCAGATTCCAAGCTCCTTAACACTGCACTGACTCGTGCCCAGTCCTTTGTTGCTGTCATAGGAGATCCAGTAGCCCTCTGTGCTGTAGGAGAGTGTGTTAATGTGTGGAGGCTGTTTCTTAAGCATTGTGATAACATGAAAAGCATTCATCCATCAACAGTCACGCTTAATACAGTCAAACAGCAAGTGTCAAACCTACTAAACTCATCAGCCAAAGACCGTATGATGGAGATAGCGAACCAGCAGCGACAGCAAGATATAGACATGGTGCAATCTATGCCTGCAAGTTCAGAGGCCCATTGGGAGGTACCAGCTGGCAATGTCGCCCAAATACTGAGTGGCCACCTCAATGGATTAGACACTCCCATGCAAAGACAGACTAGTTTTGAAGACTATCTGAGTAACCTTGATGTTGAAGACTTGGCTGATGCAGATGACGTTATTAAGCAATTAACCAAAGAAGCAGCTGGATCTGTAAGTTGCAGTGATTTCAAAATTCGAGAGGAAGACGAGCATGCAATATTATATGTTGGTGGGACTGGGAATGAGGAACCTGAAGATGAAATCTATCCCTCTATTTTCAATGAAAAGAATCTGCTAAATTTGCTGAAAGTTCAGCCTAATCAGTTCAAGCTCTGTACATTGAAAGTTTTGTCCAGATCCAAGATGTATGCAGAGATCCTTGATTCATCTTTACCTTACAGCAAAATTCTCATCAACACCAGACAACATTGTGGTCGTGCATTTCATATGGATGAGGTTGTAGTACAGCTTTTATCAACAGATATCGCTGAACCTGTAGATGGCTGTCCACATGGCAAGGTTGTTGGTGTCCTCAGGAGGAGTACAGACATAAAGAATAGACTGTTTGTGTGTACAGCCTCAGCTGATAATACCGGCCTGATGTGGCCCATCAACCAAGGTATTCCATGCATATACAATCTCTTGACATCTAATTCAGAGTGTGTAAACAATAATTTGGTGTGTGTCTATCGGTATTCACAAAGCAAAACTCTGCGATTCCATGAAGCGGTGGAATTGGATTGTACTAAACCATCTGATAAACTATTTGTAGTGCAGTACCTGAAATGGGATCCAACATTCTCATTGCCGATAGGTGTCGTAGTGGGCTATATACCAGCTGGTACAACAATAGATTTTGGCTTACAGATCCTCAATGTAGAATACAACATCCCAAAAAGGGTGTTCAAAACAGAGATTGAAGGAGAAATCAACCTCAAGTATCCCACAACTTACTCCATTCCAGATCATGAAATTCGTATTCGTCATGATATCAGACAGAATTGGACATTCTCAATTGACTCACCAGGTGTGGAAAACATCAGCAATGCCTTTAGTGTAGATGAATTAGGTGATGGAAGCTACTCAATAGGTGTACATGTGGCTGATGTGGGTTACTATGTTAAGAAGGACAGTGCACTTGACAAAGAAGCCATGTCACGTGGAACTTCTTTCAGCACACCTAACAGCACAGTCAATATGCTCCCTGAGAGACTTGGGTCAGAGATATGCAGCTTGAAACCAGGGGAAGATCGTTTAGCTCTGTCTGTGTATATGAATGTTTCTGCTGCTGGGGAAGTAACTAAAATTCAGCCAAAGAAATGTGTGATCAACACGAAATGTATATTTACATACCAGGAGGTACAAGAGACACTTAATGACCCTGGAGCAGGTGCTGACTATCTGAAGAGTTGTCTTCTTGTCCTGTATCATATCTGCATGATCTGGAGGAAAGAAAGGTTAGGGAATGCCAGCAAATACCATGACCTTAAGACACGAGAAAAGCTGACACCAGAAGCCCACCTCATAGCACAAGAATTAATGCTGAAGACAGATCATCAAGTAGCCAAACTACTTGTTGAAAAGTTCCCAAATACCACTCCCTTGAAATGTCAGAAAGAACTCCAGTCCGTAGATAAAAATAAGTGGATGCAGGAGTATGCAGGTGATGCCGTGAATTCCATAGCTCTGACAAAGCCATTCCTGGAGGGTTCCGCTACCTGTAATTGTAAGTTAGCCTGCACCTGTATTATGAATTACATCCGACAGTTGGGAAAGAAACCACAAGATCCCTTTGAGATGTTAACTGTTTTATGGGAATCCCTGTGCCAAGCAGCAGATGCAGGTGAAATTGCTTACTCTCAAAGTTATGTTATAGAACCAGAATACCATCCACAGCTGATGCTTGCTTTATCTAAACTACATGAAATCCAGAACCCGCCTGTCTTTGTTTGTTCTGGAGATACTACTGTGTTAAACCAGGGACATAGTTCACTTAATCTCTCTCCGTATGTCTCTTTCACCAAGCCTATCACTAGGTATGCTGATCTGGCAGTGGCACGCCTGGTTACAGCAGTTATTGAAGACCAACCTTCTGTATACAGTCGTCAAGAAATCCAGTCTCTATGTATACACCTGACTACAGTTTGTCGACATTCTGATTCGTATGATAAAGCAGTACATAGTCTCTATCTGAGCTCTGCTCTTAAAGCCCGTCCACTTGTACTACATCCAATCATACAGAATCTTGATGAAAATAACATTCAATTGTGCTTTCAAACCATTGGTGATATCTCTGAGAACAGAATCCAGCTACCTTCATTGCATACTTCTGAGAAACCTATATTAGATGATAATGGTAGTGTTCAACTGACATGGCAAGATCGCCTATATGATTTATTGCCCAAAGCTACCAGGGATATATCTAACTTGTCAACTGAAGTCCTAAATCCTAGCAGGTTTATATCCAGAATTCCAGCATTTCAATGGCAAAGGTTACTGAGTGCTATCCGAGAGGAGAACATGCTGAAGCTTCAAAGTGCTGTTATGTCAGTGCGGCCTCATGTTAAACAGGCAGCTCTGAGTGAAGGATATGTAGTAGATGTGTCTGTAGGCAATAAGTTAAATGGCAAGATTAAACACTATGCAGACTTTAAATTGACCCTGTCTACCTGTGATGTTGTACAGGTACAGATGACAGCTCAATTACGTAATGGCCTCATCACACCTTCTCTACAGTTACTGTGTTTGACTCCTTCACTGGAAGTCTGTCTAGAGCACCGAGACGATCCACTCACATGTTTTTCTGCACACTGCATTCCTCCAGCAGATAACACAGCCTATCCAGATGTAGCTTCCTACCAACAATTATGGCTACCTGTTCTAGGATTAGAATCTGCTCATAATGCTGTAACGTCAAGTCAATCTGTTGTGGTTAAAAATCTGTGTATGGAATGGAAAGAGGAAAAGTTGGCAGGATCCTCAAAGATTGTTGCAAGTTTTTCAGTCCCATTAATCTTCTGTATGGAACGCCAGTTTATAATTAGGAATGATGTCAACGTCATTGATATTTTCATACCTGATAATGCTAAGTTTGCATCAAGCTATTTTCGGAACTTTCTTTGTGTGCGATACAACAACTTGGAGGTTGCAGATGATCCCAGCTTGAATGAGAGTGTTGCATTGTCAGTAAACAATGGGATGCCCATATGTTGGGTAGGACATTGTCAGATTGTGTCAGTCAAGAGAGTCCAGGATAATGTCGTGGTTAATATTGTTCTTGTGCACAACAGTTCCACCATTCCCTCACAGTTACTTGGTGCCCAGGGCAGCAGTCTTCATTGTACTTTGGAATGGATCCCTAAGACCTCTCATGACAGGTAATTATATATATATATATATATACAAAATTTCTGATAGTATTAATCAGATATCCAGGTGATTCATTTGACATACAAAGTGCACACTAAGTCTAATGATGTAATGTTACATGTTTTAGTCTGGGACGTGTGATGCATGTGCTGTTACATGCGACAGTTTGGGACATGCGTAATTCATGTGATGTAACAGGTGTTAGTCTGGGACATGTGTAATACATGTGCTATTACATTTTCAGTCTTGAGATATTTGTAATGCATGTGCTTTTAACTGAATCTAGGACATGTGTGATGCATGTGCTGTTAGATGTGTAATCCATATACTGTTACTTGTGTCAGTCTGGGACATGTGTAATACATATGCTGTTACTTGTGTTAGTCTGGGACATGTGTAATACATATGCTGTTACTTGTGTTAGTCTGGGACATGTGTAATACATATGCTGTTACTTGTGTTAGTCTGGGACATGTGTAATACATATGCTGTTACTTGTGTCGGTCTGGGACATGTGTAATCCATATGCTGTTACTTGTGTCAGTCTGGGACCTGTGTAATACATATGCTGTTACTTGTGTTGGTCTGGGCATGTCTAATACCTGTGTCTGTCTTGAAGAACATGTTTGATACATACTTCATAATGTGATGGTCTAGGATTGCCTGATACATGTGTCATTACATATTGATGTCATGGTGTTGTCTTCATTGTGACATCACCAAAAGATAGTGATATGGAATAAAATTATTGCAAATTTTATTTTGATGTCAGTCTGGTGAACGCTGTTTTCATGTATGTTTTTAAAAGTGTCTTTAGTTATGTGATAAGTAGAATCTTGCATTTTTTCCATTGTATAAGATTGATGAAACTCCATAGGACAAGTATGATCCACTTCATATTTTGTCATAAAAAGACTAACTATAATATACATGTTATTGATATAGTAAATGGCAACGGGAGTTTTTAGATTTGAATAAACAAATGTTTGACATACTGAATGTAATGAATCACCTTAAAATAATTGGATCTGTTTTATCAAGTTATTATAGCCCTTAGTGTTCCATTCCTTACTTTGTTCTATGCATAGTGTATATATTTTGTTAGGTACAATTGTTACAGCATTTCATTCTTAAATTCAGTGGAGAAATATTTCATGGATATACATTTGTTTACTTTGTTTTTTATTGTCATTGTTATTTCATGGATATACAGTTGTTTACTTTGTTTTTTATTTCAGGTTAATGGAATATTCTGTACAATTGCTAACAGAAGCATCCCAACTAGCTCATGATATTGTATGTGGCAGAGTCAATGGGGCTATCAGTAAGTTTACTAATTTGTTAAAAACATATTTATTTAGCATGTTCTAGTTTTTAAACTCAGGATATGTTAAAAGAAAGGTAGTTTATCTTTAAAAAAAAACAGGAAAAGAACAAAACATGTCTATGAAACCATAAATCTGTGTTGTAACTGATCATGAAATGGAGAGCAAACTTAATGAAATAAAGATTTTGAAAAAGACCCTTAGAAAAGTATAATAATGAAAATAAGAATTGATAAATACTATGAAAATACATTTAGTCAAAAATTCTTTCATCAAATAAGATATATAGTATGAATATTTTTTGATGATATTCACTGTTTTGATAATCTTCCCTATTTAATTTTTAGGTAAAAGTGATGTAGATGCTTTGTTACAACTGCTAGTGACAGGAATGCCAAGACTTTCTGATGACCAAGCCGACGCAGTAAGAATGAGTCTCCAACAACGCTTTACTGCCATACAGGGTCCAGTAGCCTCGGGCAAATCGCTCATTGCCAGCTACATTGCTTACTTATTCTCCCGACGTAATGCCTCAGGAGGCCGTAAAAATCAGGTGTTAGTGTGTGGTCCCACAGATCAGTCAATAGACATATTAACAGGTATGTATTATAAGGTCAGACTGCCCTCAGTGTGGTGTCCATAATTACATCCTTCTTGAGACTTCTTGAGATTTTAATCAAAGACAGAAATTGTAAAGATGAAGACTCTTACACTCAAAAGCAGCAAAATAGGAATTTTTCATTATTCTTTTTCAAAGTGTTTTCTTTTTTATCTTGATTCAGTGAAATGTCAAAATCTGTGGTCGTTGTATGTTAGTTATGTCTAGATGTTTTAAATAATGTACAAGGTATTTTTGCTTCGTGTTTACAGTTTACATTGATTAGTATTTACCATATAGTGATTAATTTTAATAAACAGAAGAGGAAGTATCAAGTTTGGTTCACATCATAGACAATTGTTTAATAACATTGATTTAAATGCTTCATCTGTGTAATATCTAAACTTTTTGATTCAGCAAACTTGCAAAATCTTGGAAAGATGTGTCCAAAAATACTGAGAGTGTATAGTGAAGAAATAGAGCAAAAGGAATTTCCCATACCAGGGTCAACAGTTCCAAGTAATGAACAGAAACCATTAGGAGAAGAGTTTCATTCCCCTTCTCCAAATGACACTTCTCTACATCATGTCATCCGACGAGGCTCCAACTCTTACAGTCAGACTATCAATGAGTATGACATGCTTTTTAAGATGTATCCTGATGATATCTCCCCTGATCAGGTAGAGGAGTACTGTCAAATGAAGGCTGATGCTGAAGCAGCAGAAATAGGCATGGCAGAAATCATCCTGTGTACCTGTGATACAGCAGCCAGTTCCAAGCTATCAAACATCGCCGTGGAACAGGTATTTGTATTTACTGTTTAGTAGAATAATAATTGTAAACGTTTTATACAGAATCAACTATATCAGTTTGGTTTAATCAAATTGACCTCATGGGGTCAGTATTGTTAAGTGTTTGAAGGTGTTTGAATTAGAAATATTTCCAATAATGTGGATTTTATTAATGCATTGTGATTTAATGGATGTATATTTGTGTATTTGTTTGCTAACAATTGTAAACAGAAGAATCCCAACTAGCTCATGATATTGTATGTGGCAGAGTCAATGGGACTATCTGTAAGTGTACTGATTTGTAAAAAGATATGTTTATTTGGCATGTAATAGTGAATAATGATTTCATTGAAATTTACAGATAATAATTGATGACTGTGGTATGTGTTCTGAAGCCGAAGCTATGACCCCTGTGATCCACCATACAAATGCTAAACAGGTTACAATTCTTGGTGATGCTATTCAACTACCCCATAAAGTCAATAGCCCAACAGCCAAGGTCCTAGGTCTCACAACCTCTCTACTGCAGCGATACATTGAAAAGGCCCTGGTGCTCAAAAAATACTTCCGTATGGTGAGTGCAGCAAAGATAAGTTGTTGAAGAGCATGAGTTGAAGTTTATCCATAAAAGAGCTAGGTGAAGTAGATTTATGTAAAAAAAATTTTGTCTTGCCATGATGAAGTTCTGGATAATTCATGTCAAAATTTATACTGAATAGATAATCACACCATTTCTAGGCCATTTCTTTTTTTACAATCTTCAGCTTTGAAATAATGTTTTTCCATATACTTCTTGGGAATTTGTGTATTTTTATAAAATATATATATATATAAGTGTCTGTATTGGAGATTTCTTTAATCACATTTGCATTTGTTAGTTTTGTAATGAAACGACGATGTGCATTTGTATCTTACAGCATGAAGGAATAGCATCTTTTCCGTTTGAACATTTCTACGAAAATACTCCTCAGCGCGGGAGCATTGAACAGAGAGTCCCAGGAAAAGTGAATATCTGGCCAGCAGGGACAAACCTACCCTTTGTTTTCTGTCATGTGGTAGGCAAGGAGGAGGCTGTTACAATCAGGACCGACAGGGGATTGGAGCTCTCACATGTTAACATCATGGAAGTTAATATTGCAGTACGTATGAAACAGTAAATCTTAAGTTTATTCAATAATTCATTTAACTCAAAGTTGCCTAAGTTTCTCTTCCTTGTGGATAATGTAAGGAAAGAAGTATCCAAAATTCTATCAAATTTGAGAAATGTCTTTTCTGCTTTTTACCCAATAGCAGTATTGTATAAAAATAATGGAAAGGACAAAACTATGACCCAATCTGTATGTTTATATTTGTTGTGTACACATTTAATAATGGTAATGAAGCAAAAAACCACAACGAAGATAATCAGAAGTAATACAGTTCAGAATGTTTATTGAAATAATTAGCTGTGCTGTTAACATAAAACCTTTTTCATAACCTATTATATCAGTTAAGATTTTGTTATGCTGTGTCATATAGTGTACCCATGACCCTGTGACATCCTGTCTCAAAAAGTGATCAAACTCATACAGGGAATTAAACAAGAGCTAGAAATTGGTGACAACTAAAATTATCTCAGGGTCATCATCAATTATTAAATATTTATGTTTAGAAAGTCATAATGTTTAAATTCATATGTTGGAATTCTGTAGAATTTGTTAATTACTGTAGATGTCCTGAGTAGTTCTATTTATCACTAATTTTAAGGATGGATTGAAACTATGAAAAAAAAGATATCTTGAAAATAAATACGAATAAAGATAAAATAGTAGATTTTGTAAGTGCTCTTAAAAACAGATATCTTGAAATAAATATTAATGAAGGTGAAATATTAGATTTTATAGGTGCTGCGAAAATACATCCCCTTGATAAAACCTCAAAAATTTTAACATTAAAAGAACAACATTCAAAGTACCTTTAATGTAAAATTAACTAACAAATTGATCGAAAAAGAAGATTTTCTTTGAATCGTTAATTGAAATTGAATTGTTGACTGCATTTGATTTAATTTGAGTGACTCTGCTTTAACTCTAGGTAACCACAGCCTGTAAGTTAGTGAGTCGTCATGGTGTACCCGAGTCCAAAGTCATTGTTTTCACCCAGTATCAAGTACAGTGTGAGACAATCAGGAAGATGCTGTTGAATGCTGGTCATAAGAATATCCAAGTCTCTGATGTCCTTTCTGCACATGGTAAATATCACACTAGTTCAGCATTGGTTCATCGTCGGTATTAGGTCACCCGAGACTAAATCTTATGATCACCTTTTTCTCTGTCATTATAAGAGTGTAAACTGTTTATGCTTTTTTTTAGTAAAACCAAAAACACTACCTAAAACCAAAATTCTGAATTACATCATTCCTACATAGCATGGGCTATTGAGGACTGAATTGACTTTTAAATTTTTGTGGTAAAAATGGCTATTGATAATCTACTTAAATTTCAGGTGGTGATTGGGATTATGTGATCTACAGCACTGTCAGGTCATTGCCTCAGTTTAAGATAGACAGATACAGCGGTAGGAAATGGTGTGAGGATCACTTAGGAGTCAGTGATGATCACTGTCAAGTTAATGTGGCTCTCACTCGGGCCAACAAGGGTATAATTCTTATTGGTAAGCTACATGTTATTTCTGCCTGAAAATACCAAAGGCATTTTGTCTCTAGTGGCAGTTAATAAATACATATTCACTTTTAACACAAATTACCTATACCAATCTCTACAACTTCTTACTAACATATACAAAGTAATGTTATAAATATATCATTCCTATGATAATCTTACCTTGCTGCCAGTCATGATAATGACTAGTAATTGCCTAGGTAATCTATCTACAAACCACAATCACCTGGTTTCAGAACTTTATTTTAGAATACTGAATAGTAATAATGATAGAGCAGGTATCTGTCATTTGTATACTAACAGGACAACTCTTGATAATTTTCGATAGAGATTAAGGTACAGAATAATGTCTTAATTTTTTGACAAAGTGCTTCCAAACACAGCATGTATAAATACTTGTCAATTATGGATATTATCATTAAAGATATTTCACCGATTGAGAGTTTATTGATTTTAATTTTCTTTGAACAGGCAACAAGTTTCTGCTAAGAAGTAGCTACATTTGGGCTAGTCTGCTGAAAAAGTACGAGGGCTGTGGGGCAGTTGTGGACAGTCAGGCCATGTTCAAGCTCCTTGGTTAGACACCCCTGTAATGTGGTTGTAGGTGTTGTACAAATGGACAGCTGATCAACACGTGAAAATTGCACTATTAAAGCAGTAGATTTTTCTCTTACTGAAGCTATAAGTTAATTAGGTAATGAAGCAGTGTTGATATAAACATTCAAGATTTTATCGAGTTTTGCACATTATTTCCATTATATATCGATACCTAGATATGACATAGCTTGTAGACACAAGGCGATAAGTTTTCCTGGAGAATTTTCATGTGACATTGTAAATAACATCACAGTTAAACTGATTACATTTAATTTTGTGATCAAAATTGTAATGATGATCCCCTGATATTGTGTTTATGATATATATGTAACCCTATCATGCACAGATATATTTTTTATTGACAATAGAGAGGAAGGAGCTGAGACTGTTGTAAATTTTGTGCATGTGCTGTATTTTTCAGAGATTAGCTTTTTATTAACCAATATTTGTGCCTTATCTACTGCACTTACAAACAGATTGAGAGGAAATTGGCATTCATGACACATCTTGTTTAAGAAATTCAATATTATCATACGCAAGTGCTAAAGCAGTGCTATATTTGAAGAGCAAAGTATTGAATTATTTTCACAGATGAAAAGCTATGCAATGATTTCATGCATTACCACAACAACGCATCTACAGGAGTTGTTGTAAGATGACAACTACAAACTGTGTGAATTATTTTCATGTTTAAATTTTGTGTGGCTTTTTTTTTGGTTTCAACAATTCCATTTTCAGTATTAGGATTAACTTGGACACATGAAAGTTCATAATATTAAACATCCTTAATTATGGATCAATCTAAATTGAAAATGATCAAATAATCAAATTAAATACTTGTAAATACATTTAATTCTCAAAATTTGAAAGATTTTTATATCATACCGTTCAGTTGGTAAATTGATTATTCTTATATGTCATATTGATTCCGGACAAAACTCTGTAAAATATTTTAGTATTTCCTGAATTCGAATGATATGAAGATTCTGGAAAACCAAATTGAGACATTTTTATTGATTCATTGTTTATTTTCATTCAAAGCTAGTTTTGTTTGTTCTGTTTTAAGTTATTTGAGCAAAATGTACACAGTTAAAATGTAATTATTATGTCGTGCTTATTTAGTGAAATAGATTGATTTTGATAAGTTTGAACTCATGGTATATTTCTTTAATATGTTGAGATACAAACCAGAGGGTTGAACACTACATTAGCAAGTGTTCACTAGTAATTGATTAAATTGTGAATTCCAGTGAAAGGTGAATTGTTTCTGAAATATACAAAGGTTTGTTAATACTATGTATTATTTTAAACTATGAATACTACCGGTCTTGTAACATGGGTATTTCAGAAAACAGTTTTATATGATTACCATAAGTATTGATTTGATATATTTTTTGCTGTGTTTTCATTTGTTTTTTGTCTTCATGATGATGATTCCAGCAGATGAAGGATTACTTTTGTCTCTGGCACACTCAGTGCTGTTACTAGACGTAACAGTATAGTTTAATGGTGATACCTACAATCAATGTACAACATTGACAGTTGTCAGAATATTAAACATGGTGCAGGTTTCAGAAACCCTTTTATCACAAATTGTTGATCATGTTGTTGAATTATAGTTTCTATTCATTAGGTACACGACTTTCAACATAATCAAATTTTGCCTTTAAAGCATACAAGTCTTACAGGACAGGAATGCATTAAATCATTTAATAGTGCTTTGTTTCTATTTGCTTGATAAAACCTGTTAATATGAAAAATGTCATATTGTTTATGTTTTAAATAAGGTTTCCTGCAATTTGTCTGTGGAATATGTAATAGTGTTACAATGTTTATAGTGATAACCTTGTTCTTAAAATCCTACGAATGTCTACAGCAAATGCAGTATTGCTGTTTGTATTACTTAGTTATGGTGTATAATGAAGTCCCATGTTATACCCTAATTCAATATTATAATAGATTTTATAGAGTTAGCATGATTATTTACTGGTTTATTGACTGTGATGGACTTGTTTGGTAGTTTTCACCGAATTGCTGGAAGATTGACCAAGATTCAACGATGTAATGAACTCCGTCATAAATTTTAGGCCATTTTAAAATATAATTGGTTGTACTTGAAATAAACTGTATATTATGCATCATGTAGCAAGTTTTTAATAGAAGATAAGAATGGAATAATAATTACTTATTATTAGTTAACTTGGTCTTGCCAGTTGTAAAATAGTAGCGTTAAATAGAAACATTTTCTCAAAATAAAGACTCAATCATTTGTTTTCCTTCTAATAATTGATATAGATACAATCTCTTTATAAGGACTGCTGATGTGAAATTCATCATATCTCGAAGTATTTTAAATTAAAAGGCTTGTGTATACATAAACTTTGTTTCATGTAGATGATTAACATTATAAATTGATGGTAATACACAAAAAAATACCTGAATCCTGATCGATATTCCGAATTTATTAAAAAGACCCAATAAAGGTTTATTTCTTTAAATATACTGTTGTTTTGTGTCTAAATTGAATGTTTGATATTTTTACCCACCACTTCTTGGCTTGTCATCCAGCCTTATATGGAAATATAGTTATGCAGAATTCCGCCCGTGAATCATCTTGTTCCCCAGTGTAGACTGGATTCACTTCCGAGTTGGTCCACAGAATTAGTATGACTTGAAGAGATGCATCCAACTTTTTCATGTAGTTTTCATGGAGTTATGTCCCTTCTGCTGTTTCATTTGGTAAAAGCATGTGAACTTTACTCTTTCGAAATTCCTTGTTTCCTTTCCGTTTAAACTCGATTTCAATATATGACTTCGCCAAAACTTGATGAGAGTGATGAATGGATGATTCTTACTGTTCCTTATCATGTTGGAGCCAAAAAAATCCTTATAGAACAGAATTTAACCAACCTTATCTTAAACCTAGATGTGGCATCTAACGTTCAATGTTTTCTCTTCTGAAGAACCAGATCCCGGTTGGTTCAAGGTAAGTTCCATCATTTCTGTCCTTTGATCTTAACTGTTTGCTTCTCTATAGACAGGTTAATGTTATCATCCAGTAAGAGAAACCTACATAGAAGTTTGGGAAAGACCACTCCAGTACTCCTAGACAAAAAGGGATAAAACTTTGGCTGTTTGCCAACCGCTTGTGTTCAAGCATGAATAATGTCCTTTTAGTACATCTCGAGCAATTGTTAAATCCAAGATTTGCTGTCAATCTTTTTTCGGCCTATGGACAAAAGGAAACCTGCATGTCCAGTATGGCATTTCAGAAATACTCATTTATTGTAGAATAGAACTATTTTATCACAAGCAGTACAAAACGTATGACATTTCACTGACAACAGTATCGCCCTTGTCAAACAAAAGAAGACCAATGTGTAGTTTATTGGCACCGATGAATCGACAGGACTTGCCGTTTTTATTATGTTTATACTGATGTGGATAATGGAGATAAGATTACAATGAAAGCAGATTAATGATTTTTCGTTCGTAAAGTAGGTGGGAACAAAATACTATATAATGGATGCCAATTCACTACACTTAGTTCAGAACTTGGTCTGAGATGTACCAGAGTCTATGGGCCCTCTCGTCTCTGTTAAGTCAGACCCGCTACGGCTAGGTCTTAGACCATTTGATCAATCAAGAGCTTACTTACGCACCGTTGAATGCATGATGCCCAACTAGTTATATTGCTACTGACTAAGCAATCCCTCCTTCCAACTCCTATATATGAACGTTAGAAAGACGAAACGTGGGGTAAAAAAATGTCCCAAACGTTGCAGTATCTGCTGTAGACTTGAAACTGCTAGGGTTTCACACCTCTGTCGCCTCTGTACATGCAATGAGTAGGTAAACACGGTGTAGTATTTCTATGTCAGTGTTTTATATCTTTATAACAAAACGAAATTATATAGAAAAAAAACACTTAAATTTTCAAATGTATACATTATCATAGTGGACCATCTAGCAACTTACATACTTCTGTTATGCAAAATGTCCGAGTAGCCTTCAGATGAAATGAATGTTAAGTTTAAAGTCCATCAGTATACATCCCTCAGCCCACCTATTTAATATTCAGTAAAGGCTTATGGTTGATTGAATTTTAGGGTATTTTTCTGTGAAAGTTATCATGTTTTGGACATTATTTTGCATCAATTCTCTTTATCTTTTTGTAAAGGTTCCAAGTCCATAAGTATACTTCTCACATCCCTCCTGATAAGATTTACGTTACAGCCGTTGTATGGCGATTCATTTTTGCTTCCTTTGCAAAATTCACCATGATTTGGACTTGCCGAAAAACTGAAATCCACCAAGTATTTAAGCATTTGAATGGCTTCTAGGTCAAAAAGTTCCCATCCCCATTCTTCATCCCTCCTACGCTGTACGTACTAGATTTCTAGGATTGATGTTTCGTTTCGAATTTTACCGTATTTTGTACTTGAAGTCCGTCATCAATATAACCTCCCCCCCCCTCCACATCCCTCCTGTTAAGCATTGACTGTCTCAAAAGTTATATAAGTGATCGCAATACTTTTGCTATATAACTTTGTAAAAATTAAACATAAAAAACCCATTTTGCGATGGCAACTGCCGATGGGGTTGACAATCATTGATTGCACTTGTACTTTTTGAATATGATGCCATGCGATATCCAAATGTTTTTGTATCCTGTCTTTTCTTTGAACAAAAAGCGATTTTATGAAGTCACATTTTACTTGCGGCCAGTAACAACTCAATTAAATTTCAATATATTACGATTTACTTATGTCATGAACAATTTCCTAAAGAACTTAATATTGCTTTCATTATTAATAAATTACGGTAATTTAGACTATCATGACGTTTCCTCATACGCCTGCCCAGCTCATCCCACAGATGTTCAATAGAAGACATGTCAGGGCTATATGTGGGCCATTCCAGAGGCAGAACGTGACAAAATCACGACAGATTGGCAACATGCGGTCGAGCATTGTCTTGCTTGAAAATTAGGTTATGACGTGTGAGAAGTAGCAGAACGTGTAGTTGAAGGATATGGTTTCTGTATTGAACGGCATTGAGGTTTTTGATCCAGGACCACTAAGGGATTTTTACTCCATGTGAGATGCCTCCCCAAACCATTACAGAAGCCCCATCGGACCTATCGTATTCAACCACGCATGTGAAGGCGAATCGCTCACCGCGTCTGCGATATACCCTTTTTCTCCCGTCTGACCATGTCTGCGCATTCAGTAAAGGCGCACGTGCTGCTTCCGTGGTGTCAGAGGTGGCCCGAGGTAAGGTCGGCGCGCAATGATTCTCTCGGCACGCATGCGGTTCCTGGCAGTTTGAGCACTAATGGGTCTGTCATGAGTACCTAAGGTACGCAATCTCTATAGCAGTCTTGAATCTGTCGCACAAGTGCGACAATCAAATCGCCCTGTCTTGTGGGTTGTTACACGTGGACGACCGCGAACAAAGTAGCATGGATAAAGACCGTAATTGTACACAGCGCAACACCAAACTGCCATGCGACAGTATTTTGCTCTATCCCTCTGAAATTGCGTTAAGCGTGGCATCTCGGTCAATGGTGAAAGCAAAATGCCAAGGTGGAAAATTAATGTGGTTGAAGTTATTCGTTTGAAAAAAAATCCGGCTTGGCTTGATCACGCCGCGTATTTGGACTAAAGAAGCTCACAAAGCCACACAATCGTACCGTTTAGCTTGGCTCATTTTTAGAGTAGATTGTCAAGAAGGGAGATAATTTTTAGTGTAAAACCTGACCAAATATTCCATTATTTCCTTATAGCTAAGGTGAACTGCAGGGGATAATTTTGTGTGTTTCTTTTCTGTCGAGTATGTTTTATGTGGGTGTTAAGTTCCGAAGAGCCACGTGCTAAATAAAATACATCCGTTCGGAGATGCAAGACCACAACTTGGTAGTCATTTCAAAAGTGTTCGAAGTAAAACGATCATTACCAATAGGCGATCGTTGCCAGAGAACAAAAATATGACACTCAAAAGTGCCTAGAAATTTAAAACTGAACCATATGATGTGCAAATTTGCTGCATTTTTCATGTGTCATGTACATATCGTCCTCATCAGAACAATTTCATACTTAGTCCATTTTTTGCTTTTTTCGTTTTCCGATTAAAAAAATAGATATCGTTGTCATTTTACTTAACGGGAAGTATTTCTTTTTCGTTTACGGTAGGCGATAGGGTGGAGGTACTACATGTGCACATTGTACATATATGGGTGCACTGAAAATTTTATTAATTTGCTAAATGTCGGAGGGACCACTTACTCAATACAGTTCAATAAAATGGAAGTTTTGTGATAAAGACTATTGAGGCTAGGGCACGTTACTGTCAGATTACTTCATAAAAATGAATTCGTTGTTGTTTCTGTTCTTTTCACGTTTAACTTTCAACTATCTTATATCATATAAAGCGAAATGAAAACCTTTCGTTTTCTTGTAAATATTCCAGTGCTATACGTACAACAAATCAAGGGGAATAACTCTAATGTTATAGGTGGCGCTAAGTCAGATGTCGTGTCAACATGGCGGCGAGTGGAGAAAGCATGACCGGTGAAACTGAAACTTGTAACGAAACTGCATCTTCAGCAGAGACCACAGAAATCGAAAGCTTCACTGTCGAGGGTAAATTTACATAGAATACTTAATTAAAAACTAAATAACATATTAGGTATATTTTTTCTGACACCGCCGGCAGGATGTAGGTCTGGCCACTTTACGTCAGAAAGCAAATAAGCCTTACCATATGTCATCTATATTGTAACTTGACTGTTTAGGTCTGTACTGTCTATTAATACACACGATTGCCTTGATATTTAAATGCAAGGATTATTTTATTTCTTTGTCGCGTGATTTGAAGTATGATGGTTGAAATTAACAAAGATATTTGTTTGATAGGTGGTGGTATCATGTTTTCTTTCCATTTCAAATCTCCAGCAGGTTACCAAAATTTGAAAAAAGATCTGGGTGTAATGATAATTTGAAATATATTTATTTTAGCCGGGTTTCGGTCCTTGTGAATTGTACCCGTTTTAAATTTTGATGTTTGGTTCTGTATTTGTACGTCATAGATTCCCAGCTGGGCTCAAACATTGCGGTCTTGCTTGCCCAAAAATTGTAGTGATGCAAACAAGGAAATTTAATTGATAAAAAACATATTTCTATATAAAGAAAAAGAATATGTTCCCTTTGCAAATTAAAAATTTAATACGATATTAAAATATCTCTGCAAACATGGGAAGTTGAATTCCATGAATTGTGATTGATTTTCAGTGTTTGGTTCATGAACATATAGGAAAAATAAATTTTGATAAAAATATGCCCTTTATTTACCTTTTAGTAAGTACACACAATCACAAATCCTACCATAATGAGGGTGCATAATCTGACAGGAATGTCTATATGTTTGATTTTGTTTTTATAGTCAGAATTTAATGATATTGTCTTCACTCCTTAAGACATAACCATTTACAGTCCTGGGAGTATCCCCATCTCAAGAACTCTGCTTGAAACAAGGGTTGGTCACTATGGGGTTCAAACATGGGACCCTCCAAATAGATGCTCTACCAATGGAGTTATCTGTCATTGACGACGATCAATATAGTCCAATTCTGCTTCATTTGCAATTGTCATACTAATACTTATAAAATCAATATTTTGTAAAAAGTTTGCAATGTGGGAAATCTTAATCAGTCTTGCTGCACATGTGATTATATACATACTTAACTGAGAATGTTGTTAACAGTTTTGCAGTTAGTGAAAGAAGCACGACAGCAGCATGGCCTTAGACATGGAGATTTTCAGAGATACAGGTATGGCAGTGTGTATATAAAACCTCTCTGTAAGGAAAGTGTCTGTTGCAGCAAAGAGAAACTTTGTTTGGTGGGGAGGAGGGTTGGGGAGTTGTAGTATATGTAAGTTACTGATTTCAAATTAAGGGACCTGTCTGTATCCATAATATTTAATCATAATTCTTCTAGTTTACCATCTTGTGAAAGTAGACTTTTTATATCACTCCTTCAAGTTATCTTGATTATACAACATCCTTTTCTTGGATAAAATGGTTTGCATTCTAAATTTACAAAAGAATTACCTTCGATATCTTAACATAATAGTAACAATGTAATCAAATCAATGTAACCCTGGCAATTACTAGCAGTAACAGTGATGATTTCTCTTCAATTGGATATGTGCAAGACTAGTATGTCATAGGTCCAAGATTTAAGCCATAACAAAAGTCTTGAAGTAAAAAATGACCCCTGTTACATCCATTTCACCAAACTCTCAAAGAAATAGAAAAAATGAAGAAAAAAATGAGAGAGAGAGAGAGAAACCATACATAACATATAATCATAAATTACTGATTTTAAATAAAGCATCCCTGGACAAAGAAGGAATCAAAGAGCAATATCAAAATATCACTCCAGTATTGTGTGGTTTTGTTTCATGGTCGATTGCCTTTTTATCATTTTCTTTTAATTATCTCTCTTCTAGGGGCTACTGTTCGAGAAGGATTCGTCGTATTAGAAAATCATTGCATTTTCCTCAAGGCACTAAACATAGAGTGCAGCCAAAAAAGATTCAAATGGAAAATTTGACAGATGTCAGGTAAACTAACATATCAAAAGTGATATTTCTTTGTAAGTTTTTGCAGTGTATGAAAGAGTTTCCATATCTTTTATTTTATCATGTTGAGACCTTGTAACTCGAAAGTAAAATGTATGCTTCAGACTCCCAATCACAGTGACATAGTCTAAAAGACAAGCAAAGGAAACTCATTCTCTTGCATGTTGACAGTTTTTCAATAGATACCTACTAGTAAATTTATATTCGTGAATCCCATTTGATTGATATCTTAATATTTTACATTGCGATTGACTTTCTTTTTTTTTTTCAGATTTCTACATTTGCCACTGTTTTGTGCAGAGAGAGCATGGTTTTATGCAATGCAATTAAAGGCAGAAGCCAATTCAGAGCCTCGGAAGAAATTCCATATGATGTCACGTATCAGGAAGGCAGTGACATATGCAGAGGAGTTTCAAGAGCTATGTAAAAGTCCTAAATGTGATGCCAGGACTAAATTAGAATGCCAGGTCAGATACATTGCAAAAACAGTTTTTATTTATATATTTTGATATCTATATATTCTCGTGATTATGTCTTTCTACTTGTCACATAACTGCAGTTTCATCGTCCACAGATGTCTTTGGGAACAAAAAAAGTTAATATGAAATTAAAAGAGAACAGCTTAGATTCAAGCTGAAACGAAAACTCGACAAAATCGTCATTACTATTACCATTTTAGTGAAAACATTAGTCTTACATATACACAGATCCCAGTATGATTGATTTTAATCAAGCACTGAAGTACACAAGTCTACTGGGAGAATCTTATTATGATGATAGTAATATCTAAATGGTAAAAGGATGCCTTATCTTGAAAATTATCAAAATCATATCATGAAAAACAGAATTTCATTGGCTGATTTATCTCTTCAGGGATATGTGATGTGGATGAAAGCTGGACTGCAATTTGAAAGTGAAAACTGGGCAAGTGCCATAGAATACTACACAGAAACCAAGTAAGTTTATATTCAATAGTCTTTGAGATATAGATATAAATAGATAACTGCATAACATACCAAACCATTTGGATTACATCTTAATTTTTCCTAGAAATGGGATAACCTCCTGTGTCTGGGTTGACAGATTGCAGAGTCTTGAAAAGATGCAGAATTTTTAGTATTGTCATAATAACACCCTAAATTTGATTTAAAGTGACGAAAGACCCTTAATTTGAGGTTTAAAATTAAACAGACACACGTTTGAGGTTTAATCCTAAAAAGACCCTTAATTTTAGGTTTAACCCTAAAAAGACCCTAAATTTGAGGTTTAACCCTAAAAAGACCCTAAATCTATACATTTAGAATTTGTTTTCTGAATTGTTTCCCTTTTTGTAATTCTTATTTTGAGAGGGCTTTTAAAAAATGAACAAAAATATAAATATCTGAGAAACAATTGTTCAACACAAACTACTGCCTCACCATCAGGACATTTGAAATTGAAATATTGATGGAAAAATAAAATGAACCCATATTCTTTTGATTATTACCCTTAAAAGACCCTACAATATTCTTGAATTTGACTCCCTAAAAACCCTGTGTGATGTTTAAGGTTCACTAACAATATGTAACTGTTGTGTCTGCAGGACAATATATGAGAAGTTGGCCAGTGCATTTACAGAAGAACTTCAGTCTGTGTACCTACAACAAGTGGAGGAAGTGACACCAAACATACGTTACTGCGCTTACAACATAGGAGATGAGTCTGCCATCTCAGAACTCAAGCAGATGAGGCGTAGAGGAGGAGAAAATCAGTTCACCTCACATCTAGATGTAAGTAAGACCATACCTGAATACTTATTAGAATCTAAAAGTGTCTTTGTGGAGTCTTTACTTCTGCTAAAGGTGCAAAGAAACGAAACATGATAGATATGTTGAAAGTTTTGTCATAATTTCCAATGAATTTTTAGATGTTCTTTCCACCATACATTGCCATCTGCATTAAACTTGAAAGACTTTTGCATTTGTCAATGATCACCTTAATAAAAGTACTTACCATATATTTAAGTGTTCCTACCAACACTTGTCAACTTCCTTAGGTGAAACTTATCAGTCTTCAAAGGAAACATTTGAGAAAAAGTCACAGATATTTTCAAGCCAACATTATTTAAATAGTTACGTACTGTTAATTTTGAACTTGAATAAGAAGGGATGGGAAACACATTGGTTGTGTTAACTAATATTTCTACAAATTTTTAATTATTGTGTATGTAATAGAAGTGTACATTTTCAATAAAGAACACTAGTTGGCCCATTGGTTTTGTATATATTTGTGTTGTTTTTCAGGATTTGTTATCCCAGACCAGAGAGAAGCAAGCAGCAACTCTCTCAGAGTTTCCTTGGCGTGGACGTACAGTGCCTGTAAAAAGTGAGCCTGTCCGCCTGTTCCTGCTTAATCTACAGGAGAGTATTAAGGAGATCGAGAGTGCTGAGAGCACTGACAGTAAAGTGTCAATTTATGAGAGTTTGCTGAAACAGTGCATTGATGCTCAGCAAGTCCTTCGTGATGCCTTACAAGAAGATGCTGTAAGTAAAATAATCAGTCTGGAAGGAGGTCTGATTTATAATGATAGGTAAATTATCTCCCATTGATTGATGACATATTCATGATGACATATTCTTTGATGGTTTAAACTTGTAAGTCATTGATGACGATTTTATACCTGGCAGTCAGTACCATGCTATGTAGTAATCAATATTGATTTTTTTGTATTTTTTTTCTTTCTCTCTCTTTTATTTGGGGGTAAGGGGGAGGGCAAGGTCCATCTAAGTGTATTCAAAAAAACATTTTTCATTAAGCTCAAAATGAAACATATCTCAGTAGTGTGGACAAGACATATGATGATGCATATTTATTGGATCTAAATAATTTGTGAACCAGCATATAAATGAAAACAAATTTACTGAAAATTCTGTTTTTTAACCCTTTTATGCATTGATAAATTTCTGTATTGTTACTTAACAGAACTTCAAATTAGCCATCCGAGGACAAACAGTTGAAGGGAAGATATCAAACCAGCATTACCTTCACACTTATCTAACCTATACACGACTCACCAAGACTGTGGAACGTAATCTGCTGCTTATAGAGTCACTCAAAAACTTTCTGCCAGGAAAGCAGGTTCAGGAAGGTAGAAAGATTACCAAACCTCAGGATTTAGTCCGGTTGTACGACATAATGATACAGGTAGGTCAGAAAGAGACGTTTGATCTTTATCATTAGTTGTTTCCCTTGTTTAATCTTTGTTTAATGATGACGGATCCTACTCGTTATTAATTTGTTTACTGTATAAGGCAGTTAACAAGTGTCCTCATCTGGTCTTCTATAGACTATAAGAGAGCAGAAAGCTTCTGTTATTTATGGATATCATTTTCTTAACAAGCAAGTTGTTGCTAATATTCAGACATCAAACTAGATGGTGGATATTAATTTGAAGTATAACTTACACCTAATCATCCACATTTTATCAAATTCTTGAAATTAAAAAAAAAAGTTGTATGATTCATGTTTTAAATGAAACAACCCCAGTCAAAATTATAGCTATACTTGTTAAGATTATAAATTTCTTGTGTTCTATTTTGCAGAATCTTTCAGAAATTCCAGCTTTACCTGGTTTACAAGAAGATTCTTCATTAGAGGAAGAAATGGAAGCCAGGATATTAGGTTTTAAAGCATTTAGGTAAAGCATAAACCTGAAAAAAATGTTCACCTCATTATTCCTGGTTTTTGGTCTTTCGTATTGAGATTTCTTTAGTACCTCTATTCCAAAAAGCTCTGAAGTTGACCCACTTTTCAACCACATTGACAATTAATTTAAAATGACAATAGGAAGATCAACTCAACATGAAATGTTTTACTGATATGATTTGTGATAAGTGTACCTGTATCATAGGAGGTGAAACTGTGCCTAAAAACATTTGCTGTCTCTCTGTAATATTACAATGATATACATTTTTAAATTTTAGGTCATATTATATAGCTCAATCATATGTTGGAGCCAAGAAGTGGACAGAAGCAATCGCATTGATGGAGAGGTGTATTACATACTTAACTTCGTCAAAGGACGGTTTCAAGAAATTACCAAAGGCAATGATGTTGATGTACAAGGTAGACTTTGAATAATCTGCAAATATATTGCCTTTTGATTTTTCAGGAATTGAAGAAATTTGGTCGATGAATTATTCTTTTACTTCCATTGACAAAATATGAAATTTATGAAAATCAATTCTTTGATAACAGTTTTACATCAAATCTTAGTTTGCACTATATGAAGGTTTTGGCTTATCTGATTTTAAGTGACATACTTTAATTAACACAGGGAGAGATGGATAGTTTAGAAGACCTAGAAAAATTAGTAGAAGGAGAGAAGTATTCCTGCCACGCCAGAAGTATATTGGATGTCAATGATGTTACAGACCAGTTTAGCACAATGTCTTTTAATTCAAAAACGGTAAGACTTGTTAAGTGTCTAAGTATACTGTATAGTTATTGAGATAAAGGTGACACCTTTTGCAGTAAATTTGCAGTTGAAAAATGTGATCATCATATTATTTAAGCTGAAGGTACAATTTGTGTGTAAATAAATAGAAAGATTTATTTTTTGTAGACTGCTATCAGAACAGAATTATTTTGAAGTTGTCTATTTTTGCTGGTGAAAGTTTTCGTGAGTTTTATTTTAAAGCAAAAATTGGAATTTCAACAAATTGAAATATACAAATTTCACACAGCTTGCTTCAGATTGAAGTTTTAGTTTCACGATAATGTATTTATCAAACACCAACTTGATTGAATGTGATTTGATAATGATTTTATGCTTATAAATATAAGTATTCTACAAAATTTTTTAAGAATTTTGTATTACCTACATTTAATCTGTTTCAAATTAATTTGATTTTCACTCATTAAGTTCTATATTTTTTTCAAATGTATAAGAAGACTTGTGATGGTATATATATATGACAACAGCATTCAGTAGCACCTTTATAGCAAGGATAGAATTAGGAGGTGTCTTTATTTTTTCATGGATCAGATTTCTGTGATCATGTTAATCTTCCATATCCAAAATATCATCTCCTCAAAAATATCTTGTTATGCAGTAGATTGGTAACATTCATAAATGTTGGGTATTAAAAATTCTGACCACGAAGAGAGAAGACCAGAAATTGGTTATGATGTCATAAGTATCAACCATATTTAAAAGGAAATGATGATGTTATTAAACTGTGTCTGTGAATTGGCCTACCATTTACACAGAGGTCTGAAATGCTTGGCCGAAAATAGGTAATCTAGACACACTAAGAGTCAGTCCATCATGGATTGCCTTGAGATATTGTAACTTGTATATGAAGATGTCTTTGTTATTACAATTTTACACATTTTCTAACTTTATTTGGCATTGAAGCAGACCTTATTGCAATGACAAAACATTTTTCATAATTGAAACTCTTGTCGAAAATGTATATGTTCTGTAGATTCTTTCAGCATGGTTTCAAATTGAAAACTTACATATTTCAGCCTCTTGCGGACCGTCTTGACCAGTATGTTAATGATAAGTCACTGACGAGTAAAAAACCCAACGTAACTTCCTTCCCACCAGACTTTGAACCAATTCCTTGTCGGCCACTGTTTTTTGATCTGGCGCTGAACAATATGGAATTCCCTTCTTTGGAGGACAAGGTGGAACAGAAGAAGGCCGGCAGTGGCATCACTGGCATGGTGAAAGGCTGGCTCTGGGGTGGTGGCAAAAAATGAACTTCATCAGAAGTTGGAAGTTGTGAAACGTTAAATGTGTTCACTTCATTTGCTTGGATATAAAAACCCAAACAATTATACTGTCAAATTTACTGAACATTCAGTCGTGTATGAGTGAAAAGGTTTATTCTTCTTTCTCTTTTTTTTTTTTTTTTAGTGAAAATAGATTTTCTTAAAACCTTGTTCCTGATTCTACATTAATAAATAAAAGATACTTGTAATTATCATTCAAATGGACAGATTTACAGCCAGTGCATTATCTGATGATATTGTGAAGACCTAGAACATTACCTAGTAAAGACAAGAATGTATTTGTATAAAGATTTTCTATGATCAGGTCGGTGCAAATGTAATATATAGTAAAAAATGAATTTGAAAGGGGACATAACTCTGGAAGTCTTGTGTTTTTGTAAATTAATACTTATTTTAGAAGAATTGTGCAACAGATCTTATCAACTATAGACATTTATCGCTATCAGTTGTCCCATATTGAAGGGGGTCTTGCTTCAAAAGAAACTGGTGTACATAGAGAAAATTCTATATTGTAGGGAAGAGTGACCCCACACTATTTCAAATATGATCTGGAAATCAGTCCCCGAGTTTCATAGGTGGCAGGTGATTATGGTATCCACTACTACAAGTCCATCCAGTGTAATGGTATACTAGATGTTTACTCCGTGTATGTGTGACATGACTACCACCTTCCACCTAGAGCTAGGATATTGAACTTGAATACTACCAAGTGTTGTACGTCAGAGTGTATATTGCTTTTGTACATGACTGCAAGACTGATGTTGGATTTTTCTTGGTGTCATTTGAGGTTTTAATTCTGCCTTACCTGCCATTGAAAATTTACAAAGAATACTTTGTAAGTCTGAGATTGAAGCATTTTTTGAGGAGGGGGATTATTTTGTTGGCATCCTAATTCTGATAGTAAGAGGTAATTTGACATTATTTCATTTTGACAACATTTGTCAGAACATTTATTTTTCCTGCAGAGTACAGTGCATTCTTCATCATCACCTTATACAAACCTTATCCAAATGCATTAAGTAAACCTTGTGATTACATGTTGCTTCTCATTCTAAAATGAGACACATTCTTTCTAATTCCAACTTTTGGTGATGCAGAGTTATCTGCTCATGGGAATGGTTGTTGATATTACATAATTTAAGAGGTATGTCATGAATTTGTGATAAGACATAGTTTTCTCATGCAAACTAATGCTGCAACAATCAATAACTGCTTTCAAGAGCAGATAAAAGCATTTTGAAAAGAAAAAAAATGGCTATTATGGTGATGCTGCAAGTCAAACATCTTCATACCCTGGGGTTACACTCACTCACTGTAGGTCTTGCAGCCCTGAAAAATTTCAAGGCAAAATCAGAGGTTCCATATAGGATACTTTGTGGTTAAGACAAGAAAACTTTATTGTGATTGTCAGGGGTTTTTCCCACCTGAAACCAGCTCTGGACCAACCAAATTACCTTGCTTTTCAATTTAGCCAGTTAATATTCCAAGGGTGTAGAGAGCAAAAGTGATTGTAACCCCTGGAGTATGGAGGATTGTCAAACAGTTACATTGTTGTGTCTGGCATGAGACATACATGTATGGCAGAAAAGTTTATACATAGCACAACTAGATGTTCCATGATATTTCCATGCTTCTCTTTCCATTAGCATGAAGCAATACATTTGTCTGGATTCTTTTTTTTTTACAAAAGAAATTTGTAGGATTAGATTGGACAGTAATATATTTCTTCCTATACCAAGGGTTGTGTGTGGTTATATAAAAATCAACATTTCCATTTTAAACTTTTGTCACTCAGAAAAATAGAATTGGTTGTGATATAACAACATCTATTAAACTTCCCATTTTTTGCTTATTGGATGATAAATAGAGTGAATTCTACAGGAATATTAAATATTGAATACCGTTAAACACAGTGGAAATTATGGCGGAGTGATCTAATAAAAAATACCACCGTTTGTGTTGTCCTTAGCAATGACAATGAACAGACAGTCCATGTAATTTTGTCACTAATTAATGTCAATCGCCAACAATAATGAATGTAGATACAATATAAACTGTATGACTATGTATTGAGGTAAATACTTACTTGTATGTTTCCCTACTTTATGTAAGGCTCATGGGATTATAAATAAATGTTTCCTTGTTTTATCAATGTATGGTTCCTCGAGTTATACATATGGTGTCCTGGTTTATACATGTATGGTTGTCTGGTTTTTACATATATTCCTGGGATATAGGTATATGGTTGTCTGGTTTTTACATGTATAGTCCTCTGGTTTGTACATGTATGGTTGTCTGGTTTTTACATGTATAGTCCTCTGGTTTGTACATGTATGGTTGTCTGGTTTTTACATGTATGATTACGTTGGTTATATATGTCTTGTTTCATAATTTATTTTTCATGGAGATGAAAAACGACAAATAATACCAACGAAAATACAAAAAATATTACAATGCCAAGCCGTTGGGTTCAGTTCATTGTGGTATTTAGATCGATTTTGTTTCCTATAACCTTGACAATAAGACAGATTTAAAAGAAAGTGACCGATTTATAATTCTTTTAGAGACGAATCATTATTGTAGAATAGATGATTGGACAAGCTAAATGCCACAGAGACGTGCACCATTAAATGTAGGACAGCACGTGCACAGCGCTTCTCATGACTTTGGCTCTCTAATCGGCCATGAAATTTGTTGTTTACGATAACCTTCTCCATCAGATGTAGAGGTATTCTGGATACGTTTTACATGTGTAACAATGATTACTTACAGCTGTACCACATTTCTATGGCTCGTTATGATCACGGTAGAACGTGAAACTGAGCTATCAACAAATCTCTTCTCGGACGTCCGTCCGTTTGTGAACATATATGCATGTCGCCATGGAGACGGACTAGGAAATAAAAGGGACTATTAAGTATCCACTTTTGAACGTGCACTTTACCATATCAATTTCTCCCGGTTACTGAAAGAGTCAATGTAGAACACGTATCATCAAATTCTAATCATCTATTCTAATATGATCTCATTAGTGTCCAGTTGTCCGTAACGAAATTCTGCAAGATTTGGAAACAAAATCGCAAACCCGTTTTGGATTTTATGTTTAGAATGAAAGGTTTGCTTTGTTTTGTATACATGCAATGCAATTCAAGAATGTAAGAGCAATAGACTCTCGGAAACTGTCACGGCTTTTAAAATGAAGTTGAATGCATGTTGCTGTTGTTGTTTGGATATATAGGAACCTATTGAAACTGAAGATGCATGATTGTTCATGTTCAAATTTAATATTTCAATAAAAATGAATCCAAAGGTAGCCGCCAAGACATTGTATCTATATCCTCATGTACTGTCCATCTGTGGAGTTCTATTGACTGTGCTTTAACTAAGAACGGAATATCTCGGTATTTACAGTAATCATGGCAAGGACCGAATACTTCAGTAATAGTATTTAAATCTGAATTTTTATTCGAGATGTCACCAGAAACGATTGCTTTTAGATATTTTAGGAAGCACACATTTCCATTGAAGCGATCCCTATCACTACACTGTCGTTGTATCTAGGAATGTTGCTGCTATAAAAACAAATACTTGGCTACGTATTTGTTGCCGTTGAGTCTTGCGTTGAATAAAATAATGAAATAATGTGGCACTAAATGATTAAAGTGAATAGTGTAAATTTAGCACATAAAACAAGAGACTCGCCTAAAAGCAAATAGACAGGAAAAAAATTTATACTTGAAATTTAAAATGAACTGCGTACACACCTTGTAGAATAATTATCTCCTACTTACAGGCATTAGATAGGGTCAGACATGGAGGATATATATGGCCCACCTGGGAACAGGTAAACTTGAGTGCTAGTGTTAGATAACAGAAGTGTATATGTCCTAACAGACCACCAGACGATTGTTTATACATAAACATTACTTGGCTACGTATTTGTCGCCGTTGAGTCTTTGGTTAAATAAAATAATGTGGCGCAAAATTATTAAAGTGAATAGTGTACATTTAGCACATAAAACAGAAGAATCATCCAAAAGAAAAATAAACATGAAAAAAACCCATTGATACTTAAAATTTTAAATGAACTGTGCACACTCCTTGTAGAATAATTACCCCTCCTACTTACAGGCATTAGATAGGGTCAGACATGGAGAGGGATTTGTAAGACCCACCTGGGAACGGGTAAACATGAGAGCTAATAATAGATAACAAAAGTGTATTTGTCCTAACAGGCTACCAAACTATTGTTTATGCATAAACATTACTCTATAAGAATTGTTATTCGATAGATTTAAATAAAATATAATTTCGAATTAACTTTCATGTATTCAGTATCGAGTGTCGCGATCACATTTAGATTACTTCAGTTATGAAATGAGACCTTAGTTTTTAGATATCAGTCAAGCTGTTTTGAATGTTTTATGACTGCATAACCATGTGGATAAGGGCGTTTCCAATACTGTAACCATTTGACTCACACCAGGGAATCGGCACGCGTATCTTATATGTTCGACTCGCTATGTAATAGATATGCGTATTAAGATTTATTTGAAATGGGTACCCGGATTTTCGATGTTAAGATTTATTTGGAATGGATACGCATATTTTGGATGTGTTCGGCTCGCTAGGGTACACGAACGGTGCTCCTTACTAGGAATCGGCACTTGAAATATGATCGTACACGGACAGACGACGAACGCCGCGCCATTGCATAAGCTCACAAGTTGAAGGGCCTAGTGGGTAATGTTTCACCGTACTGCTATTGTTGCAAGCTCTGCACGCGAACCGGGCTTTTTTGTTTTCTTTCCCATACATGTGGGTCATCCGACGGACATCTGTAATGGTACCAAGCCCAACAGAGGTGACGCTGTAGGAGGTTATCACCGTGTTTGGTATTACCTCATCTCTTTTTGTATGTTACTTTTTTATTTAGTCCTGAAACATTGTTGAAGTCATTCACGACTGATCTTAAATGTACACCGACGGTTCTTGTCCCAAGACGACGGCCGTGCATTTGCGATAGTAAATAAACCACAACCCATGCCATCTGTCTGCTGATGTCACGAATTGTGACCGATTTGCATCTCTGCAGCTTCCGTCCTGACACGTTCAACACAGTTTTTTTCTAAAGTTGCGGAAGATGTTTATTCCCATAATGCTATACACTAAGACAGAATCGCCGTCCTCCGAGCTGCCGACAGTGACCTAATGAATGTTGTTAACATTCACGATCTGAATAAAGGGTGACTGTAGCTATCAAATAGTCCTGTACCTGCTGTTTAAAAAAGGATACAGCCTTGTAGTCCCAAAATGTCGCAATGAAGTTCGGAAAAAGGGTTTTGGACTCTGTCCATTGCTAGACCCAAGGTCGTAAATTAGGTTGACAGTATGTGGAAATGCGGATGCCTCGGTGGAAAGAGTTTCGCCTTGATCAATACTTTTGGAAAATTTTCTCTTGAGCATACATCCATCAATGAATGGTCATTGGATATGATCACGACTAGCGCATCTTCTACAACTTTCGGAGAAATACCACGTGTAAACGTCGTTGTATGAACATCGTTTTCAGGGTCAGTAGGGCTTGGGAAGTGGATATGATCTTATTTGACCTCTTGGTCCATATTTAACTCTTTGTCGGCGGCTGCTTTGCTGCTAATTTAAATATGGTTCAAGATGGTTCAACGCGAAACCTCTTTGCAGCAGTTTGCCATCTCTTGTGAGAGTAGCTCGATCTTTCTGGTACGGCCCTGTCCAAGAAGGCTTTAAGCATCGCTCCTCCTAGGAGGCAGTAAGTTCTATAATGATCATTCCCTCCTCTTGCTGTGACCTGTGTAGGATAAATTTGTTTGAGTTATCTCTGAGAATACCAGTCTTTCTCAAAATCAGTTCGCTGATGCGCTGTTGTCACATTGATGTTCGCCGCTCCAGACCTTACGATGTTGGTGTAAGGTCGTGGTTTCGTACATCCTCGTTTTTTTGTCCTTTATGGAGTTTTAGGTCCTCTAGTTTCCCTGTGTGCTGCCTTGATGATCAAGATATGACAAATATTGTGAATCCTGTCACGAAATCCTTTCCAAGTGCATGTCTGCTACTGTGAACCTGACCCTGATGTTGTTGCAATAAGTCTTCACAATTTTGTGTTCAGAAATGTGATAATGTTCTAGTGCTATAAAGATCTATTGGTGGGGGACAGAACCGTATGTGCTAGCATGGTCTAACCAGACCATTGTGAGGTCTCCGTGGTTGATCTTGGCTTTACTGATCAGATGTGTGATTGCGCTGGTGTGTCCAAACATCCTTTAAATCCTGGGTTTCTTCCTTTCTGCACAGAATTATCGATTTTCTAATTTGATGTCATATACGTCGTCATCCTTCTTGCGAGTATAGCAAAAGAAGATCTTTCCTTCTACACTTAAGAGTTTATGGTCCTGAATTTGTTTAAAAGTTGCAGAGTGCTTCTTCGGTACAAATATTCCTACTGCTGTCTGCAAGCATTCTGGAATATTAGCCCTTCCTCCAGATCACCTTTGGAAGTTTCCACGGTCGTCATAGAATTTCAAATGCTGGTTAGTAGTGAGGTATCATCAAGTGTTGCCTGGACACGGCTACATGACCCTACCGTATATTATATTACGTAATGTGTCCCTAAAACCCTAGGCGAAATTGCTTCGACCTCCTGTCAACAAATTAAAACCTTCTTAAACAAAAACACCGTGAGCTTACATGTCTGCATTCTCATAATTTTGTTTAGGCGTATGGCTACGTAAGATTTCACTTTTATCAATTTAATCTATTCCAAAACGGTACATCCGAGATATTCATTGGACTCGCTTGAGGCATGACCGAATCACAAACTCGTAGTGTTGTTACTGTTGTGCGATACAAGCCCGTATCATAACACTTTAGGAAGTTGTTTATTATAAAATCTGTGTTCCTATTCCTTGAAAACAAAAGTAAAATCTTAAAATACTTACTTCATTTGAGTCTTAGAACAATATTTCATTCATGCCCAGTGACGAATGACGCTAGCTAGCAGCTGCTGCGTATATGTGCAAACATGTACAATAACTGCATCAATGCAACAAAATGACAATACATTGTAATGTAGATTCAACAGAAAGGGCGTTCGAGAGGCGAGATTCACTAAATGGTTAATGTGATTTTAGGAATTGATTGTATATTTTGTTGCTTTCATGGACTGATGAAGGAAAGTGAACCTTATGCAAACGATACTTTATAAAAGAATGTTTTTGTGAGCACGTCTTTTTAAAATGATAACAGTGCGCTTCCGGTTTTGTCATCTCTCCCGTATTACTTATGGGTAAGTAGAAACTTGGTGATAGGCAAATAAAATACTATATTTCTCGTCTAGGCTATTTCTTTTGCTTGGAATATTAAATACTTACTCAGTCTTGGAAATTTCCAAATTCCTGATGAACCCCATTCAGTCGTGATTCCAGTAAAGCGTACCTGATACTGATATCGTTGCTGTTTGAGTATTAGAAGGACGTCATGAAAAACAGCATTTCCATGACCAAGGGCTACCTCTCCATTATTCTTCCAGGATATCCGGAATGTCCTGTACTCATCGCAGTGCAGTATATTGTTGGTAATATGGCCTTTTAAGGAGATGAATTCGGATCCCCTGCCTATCTATGCCTACATAGTAATTGTTAACTAGACCATCTTCCGACTCCAACAGGCCAATGCTTGCACCCCGACAAGCTTTTATGAGGAAGATGATGAAGCTTTGGTGTGGAGAGGGCGTGAACATGTAACCGTATCGGGTGATGAATGTGAATGGACTGTATTTGGTCGATGTAGAAAGTGTCTCGTCATCACCTGTGACTTTGCGCGTCACTTATGTATGTTGTCTAGGTGCAAATTGGGTTTAGTTTTCATATAAGAAAAAAATTGATATAACATATTTCAGTAATACAGTAGTATATATAGAGTTATAAATATGACCCAGTATATTTAAGCGAGATGGTAGTATACAGCTGTTACTGAAGACATCTATTCATCTGTCACCAAAATTGTACTTATACTGACTGTATTATACCATTTGGTAACAGTTTAAGGTTTAAATCTACATTCATATATAATTTTCGAAATTTGAAACAGATTTTGCGTTTAAAGTGAAAGTTGTCGAGATACAATCAACAACGATTATATGGAATTATATGACCACTAAATGTGTTATACATTAATAAGTACAGTGTTTACAATTAATGGTATCTTTGACATC